CCCCCCCCCCCCCCCCCCCCCGACTCAGGGAATTCAGCTACCCCTTGCAGACCTGATGTGAGGGGCTGCGATCACCCTGCCATTCTTGTCCCAGAGCAGCCATTCTTGTCTCAGCCCACCGAGGTGAGGGGGGAGGGGCTGGAGGAGATTGGGAGCAGACCTTCCTACCTGCCAGGGCCTTCCTCCTGCAGCAGAGCTGTGGCAGAATGTTTCTGAAGTGCTGATCAAAGACCTGGGAGAAGTGGGGAAGGAGGGCTCTTGAGCGCAGAGGCTCCCTGGGGCTGTGTGTGTGTGTGTCCTGTAACCAGGCAACCAGAGTGCTCGGGCCCCCAGGCCTTCTGCCCCTGACGCTGCAGGCTTCGTGGAGCCCAACCTGCCAGGGCATATCTGGGTTGGCAGCATTCATTCATTCATCCATCCATCCATCCATCCATTCACAGTCCCTTCATATGGTCATTCAGTTCAGCAGAGAGAGCTCTGTTAACGAGGCTGTCAGGCTGTGAGGGTTCTGAGAATAAAATAGTCTCTGCTGGGAGCCAAGGCCTGCTGCGGTTTGGGTGGATAGGCCAGGGGCTGAGCCAGGGTCATGGGTGCAGGGGCATACATGCCTCCTAGAGTCCCAGACAGGAGCCAGAAATAGCCTGGTTCTGAGTAGCTTCTTGGGATGGGGACTGCTGGGACCCTGTCTGCCGAGGATCTGGCACCCGCAGGGCTGGGGGAGGGGCCTGGGGTGGGGCCCAGAGGCCCCCCTCGCCTCCTTTGCTGTACTCTCTGCCACCCCTTGGTCTCCCTACTGTTTGTCAGTGAAAGGAGCACCAGAGATTCCTGGGGAACGGGCTCTTCCAGGCTTCTGAAGTGCCCGCTGAAAGAGTAGGCACATCCCAGGCACAGACTGGGTTGGAAGAGAGCCAAAGAGCCACGTAAGGACGGGTCAGCAGTCTGAGCAGGTGGCTGGGGCCTCCCCTTGAGGGGTTGACAGGCCAGGTTGCTCCTTTAGCCCTAGAGGATGGTCAGCTCCCTCCTCCCTGGCTCCTTGCCCCTTGGGAAGAGTTGATGACGCTATCGAGAATTTAGGCAGTTTTAGACACAGGGTCATTGGCAGTGGTTGGGACAAGGAGGGAACCTCGCCAGGGAAGGCATGTGCTCTGGGAAAACCCCAGGATCTTGGGTCTGCCCCTTTACCTCTGAGAGGCTCTCGGTTCACAGAGAGGGGGTGTTGCCCACGTCAGGAGCTCTCTCTGGCTCTGAGAACAAGGGCTGCAGTGACGTGCAGGCAGGAAGTGGGCAGGGGTCTAATTCCCGTCCCTAGGACCCTCCCTCCATGGTGGCTGGCGCTGCTGGAGCCCTGGGCAGAACGTTAGCGCAGTGGGCTCTGAGTATCAGCTCTGGATCTAGACAGCCTGTTTTAAATACCAGCTCCATCATTTATTAGCTGTTACTTAACTTTTTGGTGCCTCAGTTTTCCTGTCTATAAAGTGGAGATAATAGAACCCACCTCGAGTGGCCCTGGGGAGATGAACTGTGTAGAGTGCTAATATCCAAAAGTACAAATAGGAAGCACTCAGTAAATGCTGGCTGCTTACATTAAACTCACAGCTGAGCTCACGGTCGGTGGTGACTCAGGAGAGCGCCCTTTGTGAAATAGCCTTTCGGAGCCAGCCAAGAAATGAATGCCTTTCAATTTGGGGAGGGAGTCTCTCCCCTGGGGGTCTGTCAAGCTGGTGTCACCTGTCCCCAGGTTTCTCCTGGGCTGGGGCTCTGGGGAAGGCTGTGTGGCACTGCCCCCTGCGGTAGGCAGGGGTAACTGCAGGGCCATACTGGGTGGGAGGGGTCCGGGAAGGCCTGATCCCCCTGCTGTCTTGCCCCACAGATCTACCGGCGGTGCTGGCTGGTGTTCCGGAAATCCTCCAGTAAGGGGCCCCAGCGGCTGGAGAAGTATCCGGATGAGAAGTCAGTGTGCCTCCGAGGCTGCCCCAAGGTTAGGGGGCCTGGGCCCTAGCTCCCCCAACCTGTAAGCAATGATGATTTAAGATTCCTGAGGTCCGAGAGCACTCTCCTGCGGGTGGCAGAGCTGTGGGGGATGCAGAGGGAGGCGCTCCAGCCTGGTTGAGTCCCCTGTGGTGCTGTCCCAGGTGACTGAGATCAGCAACGTCAAGTGTGTCACGCGGCTCCCCAAGGAAACCAAGAGGCAGGCAGTGGCCATCATATTCACTGACGACTCGGCACGTACCTTCACCTGCGACTCAGGTGAGGAGCTGAGGCTGCAGGCCTCCATCCAGCCTCCCCTGGGCCAGTCGTGGTCCAGGGGTCCAGCCGGGAGGAGGCAGAGCAGGGCTAGCCCTGGCTGGTAGGATGTGTGCAGGGGGAGATGGAGGTGGGGGTGCCTCTGAGGGAGCAGGCCCCCAGGATGAGGTGGGGCAGGCAGGCAGAATCTACTGGTGTTGCCCTCCCTGCCTTGCATGGTGGGATAACTCAGGCTGGGGGAGTCTGAACTGGCAGCGTGATGAGGTCCCCTTTTCTCCAGAGCTGGAGGCGGAGGAGTGGTACAAGACACTGTCTGTGGAGTGTCTGGGGTCGCGGCTCAACGATATCAGTCTGGGAGAGCCAGACCTCCTGGCCCCAGGGGTGCAGTGTGAGCAGACAGGTGAGGCCTGGCGCTGGCACTGGGGTGCGAAGGGGAGAGGGGAGGAGGCCTCGCCCCCGGGGAGCTCCAGGCTGGCTCATCCCCTCCCACTCCAGATCGCTTCAACGTCTTCCTGTTGCCCTGCCCCAACCTGGATGTGTACGGCGAGTGCAAGCTGCAGATCACCCACGAGAACATCTACCTCTGGGACATACACAACCCCCGCGTGAAGCTCGTCTCGTGGCCCCTGTGCTCGCTGCGCCGCTATGGCCGGGACGCCACTCGCTTCACTTTTGAGGCTGGCCGGTAGGACCCTCTCGGCTCCCCACCATGGTCATGATACTGGTTGCCATTCACTCTGTCAGGCACTTGCTGGGAGCTTAAGTTATTCAGCGGCCTCGCAATCCGAGAGGGAACGTGATATTCCCACATTACAAATGACAGCGGGCAGCCCAGAAGTCAAAGGGCTCCAATCAGATGCTGGCGCTGGCATTTACTAGCTCTCTGATTGTGGACCTGAGTCTGTTTCCTCCTCTGTCACGTAGGGGGTCATAAAAGTATCTAACCTCATAGAATTCTGGTGAGGACTGGGTGTCCCAGCACTTGAACTCTGGAGCCAGCTTGCCTAAACTTCAATTCTGTATAATCCTCTGTATAACTTGGGTTAACTTACTTACCTTCTGTATGCCTCAGTTTCCTCATCTGTAAAGTGGTTTGAGAAAACTCGTCCTAATGAGGAGCCTGTAATAGTGCATAGACCAGAGCAGGTGCTGGAGACAACAGAATGGGTTCATTTTTGTAAAGCATTTAGACACCGCCTGGCACATAGGAAATGCTTGAGCTGTGTGTCAGACCCCCGGCTCACAGCCCTGCCTGTTCCCCAGAGGGCCGGGGGTCAGGAGAGCCCAGCCAAGCATGTGCATTGCGTGGTGGCGTCCCCACCACCTTGCCCTCCGTGCTACTTGTCCCCAGGATGTGCGACGCTGGGGAAGGGCTCTACACCTTCCAGACGCAGGAGGGGGAGCAGATTTACCAGCGGGTCCACAGCGCCACCCTGGCCATTGCCGAGCAGCACAAGCGGGTCCTGCTAGAAATGGAGAAGAACGTGAGGGTGAGGCAGTGGGCGTCTCAGTCCAGGGTTCAGGGGAGGCTGGTGGGCGGGCAGTCCGAGTGCCTGGAGTGTCAGCTGTGTCCACTTAGTGTGTACACAGTAGAGGCAGGCTAGGTCTTGGGCTGGGGGCTCAGGGGTCAACCACTGCCCCCAGGGCTAAAGGGAGGGACCCCCTTCTCTGGCCCGCAGCTGCTGAACAAGGGCACGGAACACTACTCCTATCCCTGCACGCCCACCACCATGCTGCCCCGCAGTGCCTACTGGCACCACATCACGGGTTCCCAGAACATCACCGACGCCACCAGCTATGCCGGTGAGTCCCTGCAGGCCCACAGTCACCTACCACCAGGCTGTGGAGCACAAGGCCTTCTGGGTAAGGGGTCTTTTCACCAGGACCTGAGCCCTGAGCCTGCCTTTGTGTCCACAGGTGAGGGGTATGGGGCCGCCCAGGCCAGCTCAGAAACGGACCTCCTCAACAGATTCATCCTGCTAAAGCCAAAGCCCAGCCAGGGGGACAGCAGCGAAGCCAAGGCTCCGTCCCAGTGACAGCAGGGCTGGCGCGCACCATGACTGCTGGGGCTGCCAGCCGCGGGGCTGACTGCAGCCTACTCTGGACAGCCTCAAGGGGCTTTGGCCAGGAGCCTGGAGAAAGGGAGCAAGGTGTCCCTTCCTTGCCCCCAAGGGTGAGGCTGGACCAAGGCAACGGGCTGGCCACAGCACCTGAGCATGTGTGAGGGGCTGGAGCTCCCCTGGGACTAGATACTGTTAATGATTTTAATATATACGGCTTATGACATATTCTATATGAGAGTCCCCCGTCCCTCCCCACCACACACACATTTTTTAATCCCATGACCAGGCCCCCAGTCAAGGCTGTTTTGGGTGTGAGGGCTGCCGTTTCCCTGTGCTACGTGGCGCACCCTCCTGCTGCCAGGACCTGCTTGAGCTGCCAGGGCCCGAGGAAGGAGACGACAATCACAACTCTCGGCGGGCGCTCTGACTGCTGTCTTTTCCCAGGCAGCCCAGGGGCTAAGACAGCAGGTGGCTTCTCAGTTCCTCTGGGCCTCGAGGGGCACAGGCAGGGTCCGAACTTACACTGGGCCACTTGGCAGCCTTGCACTTGGAGTCTGAAGCAGTGCTATCTGGTTGACACCTCAGGTGAAAATCCGGTTTTAAAATGTAATTTCTGCCCAGGCTCCTTCCTGCTTTTAGGCTGAGCAGATACCCTGGGGGTGGGGGTGCTGATAAGCTCAGCCAAGTGGAGGGTGGCAGGAGGATGGCCCGTCCCAGTCCCTAGCCCGCCTGCTCCAGGGCCAGGCTGGGGGGAAAGCTGCAGCAGGACTGCTGAGGGGAGCACCCCTGCTACCCCCTCACTGATGGGGTGTGGGGCAAGGCCCCAAGGGCCTCCTGCCTTGTGTTTGCCACCCTCTGGCCAGCCCAAAGCACGCAGAAACCGAGCCTTCCCGTTTCCTCCTCCCCACATGGTGCTGAGGCTCCCTGCTGAATGCAATTAAAGCAATTGATCTCCTAGTGCTGGTACTTACTGACTACCGAGCAGAAGGGCTATCTTTCTATTCACATCAAACCTTTGGGTGCGTGTGTGTGGTTTTTTTTTTTTTTTTTTTTTAATACTTTAGGGTTCTGATTTGTGGGAACAGACCTTGTTGTAAATAACCACTATTCAAGTCCTGGCAGGAGGATGATAAAGCAAGAGGCCCCTTCCGACAGAGCCCTGGAGCCAGGGAGGCGGCCGCAGCCAGCTCAGCTCTGAACCTGACCCAGGGAGCGACCAGCCAGAGGAGTATGCCAGCCTGAAGAAGGGAGCCCGCAGCCAAAGGCCCTGGAGAGGGAGGCAGAGCTGACTGGCTCAGCTAGTGGCACGATGATGCATGAAGGAGATTATGTTGTGCTCTTTATTGCCAAAAATAAAAACTTTTAAAAAGACAACTGCTGATCAATAAACATCCCTTCCTTTCTGTACTGGATATACGTTCTCTCCAGACGCCTCCCACCAGGCTGCCTATTGACTACTCTGGGTATGTTCCTCCCTCCAGGGCTAAGGGGTCACGGCCAGACCTTCACCAAGGCCACCCTTGCCGCTCCCCCCACAAATTAAATAATCGGACTACTGGCAAGTGAAGTTTGTAACTGATGGGTAGAGAATGAAATACAAGGTTTATTTGCGGGGAGGGGGCATCAGCCAGTGTCTAACACTATTCTCAAAGGGCTCTCTAATTAGGGACACAGGAATTTGAGTAAGTGCCAGTAGGCTGGCCCTGGGCAGGGACTGGAAGGGATTGTAGGCAGCCTCAACGAGGGTTCTAGCACTCAACCCTAACACCGGAAACCTAAGGTACAACTGTGAAAATTCCAACTTTTGGACAGAAAGGGTTTGAAGTAAAGCGCTGAAATGATCAGAAGAGGAGGCGAGTCCAGCTCAGTGGTTCTCACTGGGGAAGCAGTACGGCCTCCTCCAGGCGCATCAGGACACAGCGGAGCAGGGATGTTCTGGGGAGCACTACTGGCAGTTGGCAGGCAGGGCCAGGGATGCCACATGTAAACACCGTCCTGCCTCAAATCCCAGTGGCACCCTGGTAATCTAGCTGGGACGGAGCACGGCTGGGATGTTCTCCCCTTCCCCACTGCTACCCTTCTAGTTGGTGGCTTGCCAAGAAGCCTGAGCCACAGCTGTCCAGACTGCCGAAGCTGGAAGTCTCCGGGGGGGGACCTGAAATCCTGCTGCTGGCTCCGGTGCCCTTTCTGCTGACCCGGCGAGTGCGGCTAGTTGATAGTGAGGACGTCACTCTGGATCTCGTGGCTCAGCTGGGTCTGTAAATCGCTCAGCTTCTTCTTCAGTCCAGAGAGGGCTGAGAGGACGATGGTTTCGGGGCGGAGAGAGCCACAGGACTCCACGTTGTAGTAAAACCTGAGACGCGAGAGCCCAGTGAGAGCCGACCGTGAGGCGGGCTGGCTAGCTCGAGCTTTGGCCGTGGCCCACCCTCTCCCCTTCTGGGTCCTGACTCCTTTCCTACCAGGAACTTGACCTTGCCCCAGGGTGGACTTCCAACCTTTCACACACAGCGGTCCCAATGCACTCTGCAGGACCTCAAGGCTACAGCCACTTCAAAAAGATACTGTGAAAACCTCAAAACGCTTGTCTGGCTGTATTCCACACCGAGGAGAGTGGATGGTCAAGCAAGCAGTGTCACACGCCTCAGCATCCTCATGTTCATCACTAGAAGGCCTGCGTCAGTTGTGGCCCCAGGTTGATCCCCTTCTCTGGGGGTTGAACATCAGAAGAGGAACAGCTTGCCAAACTGGAGGGCCCGGCCACCCTTTCTCAGTGACCCAGAGACGGGTGATAAACTGCCCCAGGATGAGCACGTCACGTGCTCGGCAGTTATCAGCTCCTCCTCAGCCCACAGGAACGGGGACGTGAGGGAAAGGGTCTCCCTAACTCAGAGCCTGCCCTAGACTGTACCTTCTTACACGCTTTACCTTCACGTGCTGGACCAAGGTCTTACCTCTCCGGCTTCCCGTTGGGGTCGTAGGGAGCCTGTGACTCATCTTCATCCAGCTCTGAATACTCACTCTTTGGCCTGAGGTCAAACACAGGTCAGCACAGGGTTGCTACTGCGCTTTTAGGGCACCTATGTCCATAGCGAGCCTGCCCCATCTCAGTCACTGGGAACCATTTCCACACCCACCACCCCAAATGCCCGCCTTCACTCCCAACAGGAACGTACCATTCCTCCGGCTTGGGGTACACCGTGTGTCTCAGGGCATTGTCAGGATCGTATTCAAAAGCCACCCCTGCAGTAGGGTTCCACTTGGCATGTTCTTTGCCAAAGCCCTTTTTGGCATAGGCTCGAAGTCTCAGCTCCTGGCCCTTTCTCAGCTTGACGATGAGGATGTCTGTGGGAGAGGTGTGAGTCAGTCAAGGGCCAGGAGAGGTATGGTCCTCCAATTTTGACCTGGAGTGCCACTGAAGACCAGGCAGCATGAGAGGCCGCGTCTGGTCTGTGCCTCTCTGCTGGCCTGCAAAGTGACAGGTCAAGTACACATCCACACTCTCACTTGAGCCCTTACCGTCCTGCTCCACGTAGTCATTGGGGTCATTATCTCGGTTCCGGGATGTCACCTGTAGGGAGCTCAAACAGAGGCATTTATTAGCTGCTCATCTCCCCCATCACCTCTTCCTGCCACCTCCTTCCAGCACGTCCAGAGCACAATCTGCCAAACCAGGGAGAGGATGCCTAGAACGAGGTGGTGGACGTGCCCACTGGGACCCAATCTGTGCTGGTGACCGGACTCCAACCCTTACTTCACGGCTGTGACAGCCTGCTCAGTCACAACAGTACCACGGGGGCCAGAGGGCACGGAGCACCAACATGGCTTCCGCCCACCCTGGCAAGAGCCCGGAACTCTCCGCACCCTAGGCACCAGGTTCGGGTTAAGGCAGACGGTAACAGGTAAAGTCAGAGTCTTGTATGAATCCACCCCAGTCCGGTCCACTTGGGGCCAGAAGAGGGAAGGCCGTGGGCAGGGAGGATGTCCTCAGACACTGACTGGAATCACCCGGGGGCTGTTGGAGATGAGGTCTCGCGACGTGACGTGGCGAGTCTGGTCTTCGTTGCACCGCACGTCCAGGGTGAACTCCACCGAGCACTCAGGGCAGAACTCTTCACACGTGCAGTCCTGGGGCGGGAAGAGGAGCAGGAAGGGGTCTATGGAGAGACGGCGAATCCTGAGCTCCCTGTTGCTAATTCCAGTTCCGTAAGTTTCTTCATCTGTCTCCAGGCTCTGGTGGGCTGCGCTAAGCCGGTGCCCCACTCTCAGGCTGCTCAGGTGCGGGCACTCCCCAGTTTAGAGACAACCTAGACACGCGGGCACCATGTCTCCTTCCCACTGCCCCCAGCTGCCACCACTGCGAGCCGCACTAACATCTCACCCGGGCCTCGGAGGGCTCTTCCTCAGAGAACCAAGAGGGTGAGAGGAAGATTCTTGCACACTCCACAGTTCAGCTTCCCATGAACTAAGCGGACTAGCTCAGGAATGTAATCATCATTTAAATTAAAACAATGGAGTGAACAATAGAAAAAACTCGCTTTCAAGTTCCAGACTACTAACCTTTTCTAAAAAAACCTTTCTATTGTGGAAAAACTGCAAACATTCACAAAAGCAACAGACTGCCATTGTATAACCATCACTCAGCTTCATTAATTACCAAGTTTGCCATTCTTTAAACAATTGATTCTTGAAACAACCGCTGACGCTTCCCATGTCAGCGACTATCTGCTACAGTTTAACTTCAGGCAAGAAGAGAGTTACTAGAAAGTAATTAAGCAAACTGTTCTCACACCAGTGAGGAAAACCCAACCTCCTTCTGATGTTTCCAAGACGACGAGGGAAAGCTAGAGGCCATCACACACAGGGGAGGTGCGACGGCAACCCGGCCCCTCGAGACCGAATCACTCTTAGCAATGAAATGAAGAACCAAAATGTAATGGAAGATAAAAATATGAAAAGGTACTCAACCTAAAAAAAAAAGTATAATTAAGAGAGGAGTCTGTTCGAGATTAAAAGAGACTAAAGAGGTATAACAACCACATGTGATGCATGAATCTTGACTGGATCACGGACCCACGAACAAAAAACAATTAAGGACATTGTGGGGACAACTAGGAAAATCTGAATATGGACTGTATACAGACAGCACATATTAATGCTAACTTTCTTGGGCATGATAATAGTGTGGTTATGTAAGAAAATATCCTTATTTTTACGACATGCATGCTAAAGTAGTTCAAGGAGAAGTGTCATGATTTCTGCAACTTTCTCTCAAATGGTTCAGCAAAAATAACATATATATAAAAAATAAAGCAAAAGTAGCAAAATATTAAGAATTGGTAACTACAGGTTTAAAGAAAATGGGTATCTATTCTATTTTTTAAACTTTTCTGTAGATTTTTCAGGAAGAGCAAAACAAAACACCATACCTCTTTGTTCAGTAAATGTAATACTAGAAAAAAACGTAATGGAAGGAACCGGTAGGTCATAGAGCATGCTTATCTTTATATAAGATATTGCCAAACTGCTCTTCAGTTGGTTGTACAACTGTTCCCACCAGTATCTATGATGTTTTATTTCTTAAAAACAGAAATCTGAAGATGTGAAGCAAATATGTCAAAATGTTAAAACCTCACAAGTGGTTTGGTGGGAGCATGAGTATTTGTTGTATTAGCTCCACACTTTGCAGTGTGCTTGAATACTTCTTTTAAAATATACACATACATTTACAAAATATATCAAATTAGCCACCATAAAAATGACATGCCCTTGGGAATATTAGAAAATGGGTTGATTCAGGATCACCCAAAGCCATCAAGAGGGAACAGTCTCAAGCTGTCATCTAACGCAGCCCTGGTAAAAGATGCAGGTAGCCTAATTCTGCCCCACTCCCTCCCTAGGCCAAGGCCTGTTAACTACCATCAGAGAGCAAACGCAGTCCTAGGGGAATGAAGCCATGTTTAACTAGCAGAACCTATGCGGTGAGGCACAAATCTGGCAGACACCAGTACTCCAGTCTCCCAAGTCCCTCTGTGGGACAGTTCTCACTCCCTCTGCTCCTTCTCCTCACCCCCCTAACCTTCTGTTGATTCCCATTAGCCTCCTAGGCCCGTTACTGGGAAGAGATGCTCTGGAAAGCAGAGTCTGAACAGATAACACTCTGAAAAGGAACAGTCCCCCGTTCAGTATAAATGGGCATTCTGGCGCATCCCCCCTCTTGTGGGTCTGGCTAACGAGACTCCCTGATTCCCCGCAAGCCTAATCAATCTGAGGCCCCATCACAACCGAGGACCAATGCCTGCCTTAGGCTCTAGACATCTCCACGTTGTCTTTCTTAAAGCTGGAAGCGAGATGTCCCTCTGAGAACTGAAGCCCCCTGCCTCCCCCACCCTGACCCCTAACGTTCCATCACGCGGCATACCCGGGAGTACTGCAGCTTGTCCACAATGTCGTCACTAGTGAGGGGGATCAATCCTGGAAGACACAGAAGGGCACTTTAAAGACAGCCAAGGGGCCAAGCCCAAGGGAGAATCTAGACGTCCCCTGGGGAGTGAGGAGGCTTCCTCCTCTGACACCAGGCACAGCCCCTCCCTTTAACTTTCCCAAACCTGGCACTCACCAAGCCTGTGCGCGATGAACTCGTCATGAAGGACTGAGGAATTGGCATCAATCTGAACCCAGTCGATGGCTAAAAAAGGAAGGAAGCAGAGAAGCAGACATGCAGGTCAGCCACCAAATTCCCCGAAAGACTTAGAGCAGTGGTTCTCAAGATTTAGGAATCGTCTAATGCTCACCAAATTGCAGAGGCCTGGGCCCGGCTGCCACAGACTCTGATCCCACAGCTCGAGAGTGGGCCTAGGAATCTCTTTTTTTTTTTTTTTTTTAAAATTTTATTTATTTTTTCCCCCAAAGCCCCAGCAGATAGCTGCATGTCATAGCTGCACATCCTTCCAGCTGCTGCACGTGAGACGCGGCCCCAGCATGGCCGGAGAAGCGGCGCGCCAGTGCGCGCCCGGGACCCGAACCCGGGCCGCCAGCAGCGGAGCGCGTGCACCCAACCGCCAAGCCACGGGGCCGGCCCAGGAATCTGCTTTTTAACAAGAACCACACACACCACACTCCACTTCCCTGCTCGGGTGGATTTAATGCAGGAGTTCCTTATACCACCCATAAAAACACTGACTTAGAGAACATGGGAATGGAAACATGTTTCTTTGAGTTGAGTATTTCCATGAGAAGCACTTAAATCCGCTATTCATGCCGACACCAAATTGAAGAACACAAACTATTTGGGCACTTAAAAGCTGGGAAAACCTCATAGAAGTAACACAGACTTAGAGTCCATATCTCATTTTATGATATAATGACTAGATTACCTGATTTAGCACTTTATTATCACTGAGTTAACTGATGTTCAGAGAATTCCTTTAGTGAGCAAGGCACGCTACGTGTAAAACCCAGTCCCTACCAGCAATGAGCTAGTAGGAGGGTAAAGACTGCACTGTCACAAACACACTTGACTTAAACACACATTTTCTCATTCATTCATAAATAAACACCTGCACACAAACAAGTCAATTCAGAAATCAAATGGCATTGGAGCCCAACTGCCAAAGGCGGGGCCTGGACACGAGGAACGTAAGTCAGGAGAGGACCAGACACAACCATGCCCCAACCTGCTTTGTCCTATGCTTCTGATCGCTTCCCCAGCCCAAGCCAAACAAGGACCAGGAGCCCAGCCTTCCTGCCTCTGCCTCTTTCCTGCCTCTACCCCCGGCCCCCCCTTACCCTCTTGCATGCAGGTTAAATCCTGAGCCCCCTATAAACCAAGCCTGTGGGCCCCCACAACACAGACACCATCACTGCCTCCCTGTAAGCTCCGCCCTCACTAGACTCTGTCCAGACTGAAGGCACTGGTCCTACTTTGCCTCGCATTGTCTTTGTGTAGGTCTGGTCTCTACCTCAAGCTTGGAAAATTCCTTGGGGAGGGGTCTTCAAGGGCTTACCTTGGGTGTCCTAGCCGTGGCCTGGAATGTAGCAGGTGCTCAAGATTATCTGCAGAACTGAGTGTGTGGGAAAGGTGGCATTTAGATTCAGAACGTCAGGGCTGCATCACAAAGTACAACCGCCTCATTCCACTCGCGAGAAAACTGAGGCCCAGAGACACAGAGTGATTAGGCAGAGGGAGGACCAGCACTCCAAGCTCCGAGTTGAAGAAGTGACTGGAGGTGGGAACGGTGGAAAGCCTACAATGTACCGCTCACGTGGCCTGCTTGTTTCCTTAGGAGTCTGCAACTGGATGCAGCAGCTATGACTCAGATTTCTTTTTCTTAACCCAAACTCTGAGGTGACATTCAGAAAACATCCATGATATATTTGTAAACATGCAAAACACCTGGAGAGGGGCGGCTGGAACCAGAACAGAGCCAGCCCCTCCCTCCTCTAGGCGCCAGCAGCACTGCAGCTGTGCCTCTCCTGAACGACCGATCCACGGCCTTCTTGCGTTAGTGTTGTCTGTGGATTCATCTCTCCCCGCGACTTCACTGCGAGCTCCACCAGGGCAAGCAGCCCGGACTATCTGGCTTGCGTTCCCACGCCTAGCACACTGCCTGGCACCTACACACTCCATAAATGCAGCTGAAGGAAGAGATTCCTAAAAACACACCCACCAGTACTGGACACTCAAGCAACGCAAGGCCAGTTAATGTACATTAACTCACTTAACCCTTGATACCACCCTGATGACTACCATTGGTGTCCGCACAGTACACAGGAAACTGCAGCAGTTTAATAACCTGCCCAAGTTCCACAGACACAGTAAGTGAAAACGGCGCTCGAGCCCAAGTCCGCAGACTCCGGAACCCATGCTCTTCACCAACACATGTGAAGAGCGCTCTGAGCGGCCCGCGAGCCGCGGAGGTGGCCAGGGGCGGCCCCGGGCCAAGGGCCCAGCTCCGCTGGAGTCTCCAGCACTGCCGGTTCTCGGCCCGGCCCGGCCCAAGGCTGCGGCAGGGGCCCTACGGCGCACGGGGGTGGGCGCCCGGGAACGAGGGGGCGGGCTCGCTTACCTATTATGGGCACCTCGGCGATGAAGACCCTCCGAATGGAGTTGGCCACCCTGAGGGATGGAAAGCGAGCGGCGTGAGGGCCCCGCAGCCCCGGAGGCCGAGCCCGCCCCGCGGCCCCCAGACCGGAGGGACCGAGCCCCGCCCGCCCGGCCCCGGCGCTCCGAGCCCCAGCCTCTTCCCTCCGCGGCCTTACGCCAGGTCCGTGTTCTCGATGATGAACTTGACGTTCTCGTCCGTGAGCTCCGTGATGCGCACGGTCGGCTGGTTGGCGTACGGCATCGCGCCCGGCCCCGCGCGCCAGCCCCCCGCGCTCCGCCGCCGTCCCCGGAAGTCGGCCAGCGCGGCCCCCGCCGCTTCCGCCCAGACGCGCTCACAGCGCCGCCTGCCGCCCGGAGGCCGGCCCGCTCCGGCCTGACGTCTCAGGCCGCTTGTGGGTTTTAAATGCACCAGGTTCAACCTTCTTGGAGCGAGATTTGGCAAAACGGGCACACGCCCTTGACTCAACAATAACACGTCTAGGAATTCATCCTGCAAAATACTTGCAGTTGTAAGCAAAGATTGTGTACAGGGGCCTTCACTGCAGCACTGTTTGTAACGCTAAAGATAATAATAAAACTAACAGTCCATGGACAGAGACCTGGTTAAATACTAAAACATGGGAATACTATGAAGCCTGTAAAAAGAATGAAGTAAGTTTGTACATTAGTGGAAAAACAAAATATACTTTAGCAAAGTATAGTTGAATGATAGGTATATTCTTGTTCCCTTCCACCCCCAAGTCTGGATTATGCTCTTCCGAAACTGCCAGAAAATACAATGCTCTTTACTTGAATGTATCATCTACAGTCCTGTGTAGCTATGGTGGGCGGGTGGGGCTCTTCATCTCTGCGGCCCAGCACCTGGCAGTGTGCACCTCACAAGGTGAATGCTCCATAGTTACCCAAGTCCCCTAAACAGCCGAGAGAGGTTTCAGTGGCGCTCAAAAAGGTGGCAGCTGCTCATACAGAGGCTACATTTAGGGGGCAGAAGAGTCATCAGAGGCGATAAGGGACAGTTTGCCTTAGCAAAGAGCGACACCTCTCCCTGAGACAGAAGGCGTCGAGGGGCCCTTGCGCCACAGCCCGTGTTATCTCAGTAAATTAAGAATTAAGGTTGTCTGTTGAGGGCAAGAGGGATGCTATGAAGGACAGAGGAGAAAAATGGAAGGAAATTTGGAATAGCTACTGCGGGAAACTTGACACAGTGTCGAGATAAAAAGAATCAGAGAGGCGCAGACAGCACCAGCAGAAGGCCCACAAGAGACTGGAAACACTGAACAGCTTGGACTTCCCCCACCAATACTCAGTTGACTTAGGTAGGAGACAGCAAAGCAGAAGACAGATGCTAGAGTGAATTGTGTCCCTCTAAAATGTTGAAGCCTAACCTCCATTGTGATGGCATTCGGAGGTGGGTTCTTGGGAAGGTCACGACAGTAGGACTCTCATGATGGGATTAGTGCCCTTATAAGAACCGGAGGAGACACCAGAGCTTTCTCTCTCTGCCATATGAGAACACAGAAGGTGGCAAGTCAGACAAAAAGCCCTCACCAGGAACCGAATTGGCTGGTACCTTGATCTTGGACTTCCCAGTTTCCAGAACCATGAGAAATAAATGTCTGTTGTTTAAGCCATCCAGCCTATGGTATTTTGCTATAGCAGCCTGAGCAGACTAATATAACAGGGTTAACCAGACTTGCAAAGGAAGCCCAGTGTAGAGGCAGAGAAAATTATTAAAGCTAAAGAACGTATCACTGAAATGGTTAGCAACAAACAGCAGCCAAGGGAGCTAATGGTGAAGGGGAAGGCCCCTGTCACCCACATTTCACTTATGGGCAGCCTGGGCCCAGAGATGCAGAGTTGCCATAATTACCCACTACTATTAGGCAGCACCAGGACCAGACCTCAGGTCTCCTTACTGCTAGCCTCAAGCCTTTTCCACAACACTGCTGTCACCCTCTGGGGTCTTGGACACCTGCCATGGTCTGTACAGAAACTACACAACAGGAAACTGATTCAAGCATATTTATTATCATTTTTATAGACTCTAAGTTCACTAATAATAAAGTTCACTAATAATGCTGGTGTAATGCGCCACCAGGCCTGGGATCACACCTCTGGCCAGGCTGAGCACCACTGTCCAGCAGGCCCGTCCCAGGTGAAGCAGCTTTCTGAGGGGGTTCCCAGATGCAGCGTCTCGGGACACCGGGGAAGAGGCTACAAGGACACCTGTGTGCACATTTCTGCGCTGTGCTGGCGATGAGCTGCCACCTTGTGGTGGCTTTAGACCCTGACTCTGACTTGAGAGCCCCAGAGAGCATTTCTAGGAAGGTTAAGTCATGATCAAGGTGCCCGTGAGACCATGACAGGGATGCACTGGGTTTCTGTGGCTTGAGTGCTTGGACGAGAGCCTCATGTTTCAATCACACAAGTGAAATGCAGAAAGGCATCAGGGAGGCCGGGCCTGTATTGGGAACTGAAGAAGTGGCCCAATCGTGGGCTCCAGCTGTATCCTCAAGTGCCCCGTGGTTCCCAGGTGGCTGTGGTAGTGACTCAGGTCCTTCAGTGTTTTCTCATCAACACTCTGCTCTGTGGACGGCACTTCGTATTTCAAAGCCCTTTAAATACATCTGCGGGTTTTCTTCTGGGCACTCCAGCTTACCCCGCTTCCTGCTCACCGGCGCTGGTTCAGACCTGTCAAGTTCTTGAGCTGATACAGGGATGGAAACAGAGAGAGTGATGAGGCCTTGCCCTCCCCCTAGGATTCCAATGGGAAAGATCGGGATTTTCAAGGTGGCGGGCATGGCTATGTTACATAGATCTGACATACCAGAGTCTTGTAAGTCAGCGATGTTTCTTAATGCCAGTAAAAATTAAAGAGGTGGGGTATTTGGGATCAAGAGACTGGGGCTGAAGCACTGTCAGTCTTATTAGTAGCTTTCCAGATGAAGGAGGATTTTTGGGTCAGGGACTCATGTAAGGCTCACAGGGCAGGAGTGGGAAGCGGGGGCGGGGATGGGCTGGGTGGTACTCACTGTCACTGCTGCACCCATGAGTCCCTGCACCAGTGCCTCTCCAGTGGACTTTACCTAGAAGGAGGCAGAGTCAGGTTCGCTTAAGCCCCCAGAACAAGCTCAAAGGAGAGACAGGGAGGACAAATCAGGAGGCCTACGAGCCCCAACAAGTGGAGTCACGAGGGCCTTGTGTACTGGAGGAAGAGCCTATGGACAACACAACCACGAATGGGCCAAGGGTGGCTCTTAGGGAAGGGCTGGGATGAGGCAGAACCGCCAGGCTCCCTGGGAGGCCCTCAGAACCATCCGCTGAGGCCAAGGCGAGCAAGAGAACAGACAGGTGACCAGCTGTGGCCCGAGGAGGGCAGTGTGCCCAGTGAGGAGGCTCCCCAAACGGCTAGCCCAACTACCTGTTTGGCAGTATGGCCCATGTTCATCGCGTCATTAATCCGGTTTTCCAGGAAGCGCCAAGTATCCTCGAAGTCCGGGGAGGAGTCCTGCATCATCACCAGCTCCGTCGCGTTGTAGACACCGGCCAGCACGGCGCGCCGGGTGTACCAGCTCAACTGCACAGAAGCCCGCCCAGGAGAGCGGTCACCACTAAGCTGCGGGCTGGGGGCAGTCTGGGGTGGTTCCCACCCAAAGCCGTGGGCACTCACGGGCTCCCTCCTGATTTCTTCTCTCCCTCACAGATACATGTGGCCCCCTGGACAACACTCCTGTTCCCACACTTGGCTGGGCATCAGAAGTACCGGGGAGATTAAAACACAAGCTCCTGGGCCCACCTCTTAGAGTCAGTGGGTCTGAAGTGCCAGGAATCTGGATGTTTAATAAGCATCCCAGGTGACTTTGCTACATCCAGTCTGTTTTGGAACTGCTGGTGAAAAGACAGTCTTAGGACATCTAGTTCCGAGGCGGCTCTCTGGTCAGCCCATTGTGACAAAACCTTGGTGTGTTCATCAGTAAAGCGTGGGCTGAGACAGGATCATGGACAGATCAGAACACCTGGCAGGAGCGGCGAGTTCAAGGCCCTCAGCAATTTCCCACTGTCCCGGCAACCACTCCAGAGCACTAGCTCAGCCGCTTCGTGTTTTATTCCTTTGATTTCTCTGCTCTCTAATTTCATTTTCCTGCCGTCTCTGTTGGTGGTCTATTCCCACATGGGGGAAGTTTATTGAAGCACTTTGTTAGAACTGTGGTGGGAGTATCTTGTTGCTTCCCATCCTGGATTCCACAAAGTACCATCACATATTAATTTCTTTTATGAAGGTACACTTTTTTTTTTAAATTTCCTACCAGAAATATAATAGAATTAACAAGTCAGATTCTTTCCCAGTGCCTGTTTAAAGGTTTATTGATCTCTTAGTAAATCAGGCCAAGATGGGCTGGGGGGAGGGAGTTTCTTTTTAAAGCAATGGGGGTCTCCATGGCATTCTTTTTTTTTTTAATCAGTCTCATGAAAGACACACATGGAGAAATCCTGCTGCAGAATCTATATCTTAGGAGACTGAGGGGAAATGATCATAAAACGGCAGCCCATCACAAAGCCCTCTCATGCCTTGTATCACCACTATCTATCGGAAGGAATAGATCACTGTCTTGCGGCTAGAGTGCTGACCCCTGAATGAAGCAGACCTGGATCCCACTGTGGCTTGTTGAGGGACTTTCCTCGTACCTTAGTCTCTCCTCACCAAGATAGGAAGGAGACTGCAGGCCCCTTGAAGGGATCTGTCATCAAAGAAATTTCACTAACTTCTTGGAGAAATGTTTAACCCGAGCCTTCTCCGGTATCCTGTGGGCCTGGAGAAAGCACTCACGTCAGTGGACTGGTCCCCAGCATAATGCCACATGTCGTCCACCATGCTGGTGAGCAGGTTCAGGCTGGGCGGGATGTTGTGAGGGAGCATGAGGATGCCGAGGGCCTGAGGAGAGAACGACAGAGGAAGAGGTACTGCACACAGGGAACAGCACAAAGCGGGCTAGTGCCTCACCTCTCACTGAGACCCACCATCTCCACCCACTGGGGTGAGCTCCTGGCAGCTAACAACGCGGACCCAGCTGATGGGAGCCAGGGGCAGATGCCACCCCCAGCTGGCCAGCCAGATTCTCAATCCCCAGCATGTGGACTTGGGACGCAGACAGCTGGAGGGTCCAGCCTGGTCTGAGTACTGAGAGCAGGGATGGGAGAGGGCACCCCATTCTGTAACACGGAGGAAGCAGCAGAGACAGGAGGGAGGTCTGGGCGTGGTTTCTAGGTCCAAATTCTAGGCCACTCCCAGGGCCCAGCAGCATTCCCACACTTGAAGCCCCACTGCAGCCTCATGATAAATTCCTCCATTTTTTTTTTGCTTAACTCAAGTTGATTTCTGTTGCCTGAAACCAAAAATCCTTCAACCAATACAAGCGATGGCACAACCCCGAGACGCCTCCATCAGGAGGCATCAACTCCTGATAGCACAAGGTCTTGCCACTTTACCAACTCTAAACCCCATTGGCCATGGCCTGTGGCAGCTGGTCAGAGCAGTCCTGGATTGGCTGGGAAGTTGCTCTTAGCAGAGCAGCCCAGAAGGAGGCGTGCCGAATGAGGAGGCAGCCAGGGTCCAGTACGCGCAGTGCCACTGCTTTAGCTGCAGGCGGAAGGAGTCCAGGCCAGAGGTCTGAGAATCAAGCAAGCACAGGCAGGGGCCGGGACCTGAGTCTTGGCTGTACTCCCTCACACCCCGCCTGGGGTCAGGTGCACTGCAGGTGTGTTCCCATGTCTGTTGACTGACTGACTGAAATTCCACACTCAGCTGTCTCCCAGCTGGGCGGGGAACACGAGATGGTCTCTGCTCCTCTCATTTCTGGTGCGCTTTGACTCTACTTTCTCAACTGAGAGAACGGCCCACACTGTGACAGGCTTTGAAACAGGAAAAAGGAAGCTTCAGAAACGGGGAAAAAAGCCCTTGGAACGAATGCTCCAATTCTCAAGCATCACACTGACAATCTGAAAAGAAGTCCCAGTCCTCTGAGATCTAGAACATGCCAGGCCTGTTAAACGACAATGGCCAATAAAGTGGTCTGACTTTTCTAACCTCCTTCACGGATTCCTCCTCATTGAAGACCTGCTGGCATATTCGGGCCACTAAGAGCCCACCCAGGATGCGATCTGGTCCCCAGGCCACTCACATTTCCAGGAACTGAGACACAGATGGCTCAGTTACTCTCTTTGGCATTCCCAAATGTGAAATCTAGCTCTTCCAAGTGCACTGAGTATCCCTGGGATTGTGGAGATTAATAAGCTCACTTCTGAACAGTGTGCAAGCTCCTCTGAGTGAAAGGTGATGAGAACCATAAATACGAACACACTGTTGCCCCGGGGCCTGGATAAGGGCTCTGTACCCGGGGCCAGTGCTCAATGTACGGGATCAGCATTCTCAGTCTGGTTTCCACTGCGTGCCTCAGGAACTGGTCTGTCTTCCTCTTCCTGGAATAGCGAAAAGAAAACAGTGTGTCTCTGGGTCAAAGGCACGGGCTCGGTGCTACCCTGTTTACTCATCCTAGGGAAGAGGGTCCCGCCAGTTCCTGATGCTGGCCTGACGACAGCTGTCAGACACAGGCGCTGCGTCTCAGTCCCATCAGAGCAGCAGGGCTGCTCAATACTACTCTCTTTGGCTCTGCTTGGGTTGGCCTCCTGGGGACAGCTGGTGAGGCCTGAGTCCCTTGATCCTGAGCTGCCACCCCGGGCAATAATGCCATAGGACTTACTCTGCCTGGCCCAGCTGTACCAGCTTCTGCTCCTCCTCCAGCACACGGGTGAGCCGAGCGTTGCACTGGGTCACAAAATGCAGTATCAGCTCACTGCCATCGTTCCCAAACATGTTGGCTGCTGCACTGGAGAGACCCAGAGACTACAAAAGAGGAGAGGGGAGACAGAAGAGTGGGGGGCCAGTGCAGCAGACACCTGCTGCCTGCTCATCACCAGTGCCTCTTCTTCTAGTCACAGCAGCTTGGCTTTCACCAGACACCCCCACTCTTCCTTCTCAGTCTGTGTGATTTGAGTGAAGCTGACCACCAGGCCCTCCACACTCCATCAAGCCCCTTGGTGTGTTGCAAAGCATGGGATCCAGACTTGGATAACTGGAGTTCACAGTGACTAGCTCAGGGATGTGCACATGATGAAGTAAATCCAGGCGCTAAGAGGCCGCCTCAGGACCTTTGCTAGTACTGATGGCAAAGAGGTGCTCTCTTTCCACTGGGGCTGCTGAGCCATCGTTAGTCCTGCATGGGAAGCCCCTGCTGAGAATGAAGCTCACAGAGAGGAAAGCAAAGCAGACATGCCGGAGAACGAGTTCCCAGCAGCACAATCTAAGAACGTAGTACGAGAGATACTTCCAGACTTTTCTGTTGTTAAATGAGCCAAACACTTCCTTTCTTGCTTGATCCAGTTAGAGTTGAGCTCTGACACTTGTAACCTTGAGTCCTAATAACATGAAAAGGGGCTCGGGAAGAGCACTCTTAACTCTCCTCCTCACCAATTCACTTGACCCAAATCTCTTGAAAGTTAGGTCTCTCAGTTGTTTAAAAAAAAAAAACTTTTCTTACAAAATTTTTCTCAATGAGCTGTCAAGGAGTTAACAAAGCCACAAAGATCCTTTGCTGTTCCCGATATACAGCAATCACTGAGTAACTACTGGAGGCAGAACCCTGGCAGCAGCAGGGACAGAGGGCAGAAAAGGCACAGAAAAAATATTAACTCTCAATTCCCACCGTAGGGAGCGGGGAAAGTGCCTCTCTTTGGGTGGAAGTACACAGCCTTTTTGGAGGGTAATTTGGCATATTCACATCTACATCTGAGCTGCAGCAACATCAGCACGAATGGTGACTGTGTGCTTACTGCCTGCTAAGCCCATCACACACACGATCTCACGGCAGCCTCTCAGCACTCCAGCAGGTGGGTATCATCATCACCCACATTTTAGAGGAGGAAACTGAGGCTTCAAGCCCTTAACCACCAGGCTATACTGCCTCTATATGCAACCAAACCCTCAAAAATATACACACTCTCTGGGCCAGTTATTGAGTTATTGTCTCTCAGCTCCATATCTGCCCTCCTGTCCTCAGCTTTGTGACACCGGGGCTGGGACTCTGCAAACCACATTTCTGGCTCCATGGGAGGCTCTGCCTATAGGGTGGCTAGACAGAGACTGCAAGGCTGGAGGAGGAGGAAGGGACTTGCTCCTTCCTGTTGACTCCTGTCTGCTGGTGGTCTGTGTGAGCATCAGCCCAGCGATGCTTCTTCACCGTGGCAGCGGCTGGACCCACTCTGCAGTTTTCCCAACCCTTGCAGAACTAGCTTCATCCAGCCACCATCCTCTCCCTGCCCTCCCACCCACTCCACCACCCCTCCAACCCCCAGAGCTCACGTGCCAGCCCCAAGGGACCCTTCTTCCAAACTTAGAGACACCAGCGCCAGCTGAGCAGCACCTCCCTCAGAGGTCTGGGTCTCACCTCCACAGGGACTCTCCTTCAAGCTTCTAGTTTTGGTAATTCCAACTCTTCCCTTTGTTCCCTTAGCCTTGGGGACGGGAGCCATTTCCTGCAGTTGCTACTTCCATACACCTTCGTGTTCTTTTTATCCTTTCAGTTACCTGGTTACCAACTTTACACCTAGTTAACAGCTCTTTGCATTAAATTCTCTCTATTCGAATAACTGGTGTAGTTTCTCTCTCCTACTGATCCGCTCCCTGAAAGAGCAGCTCCGCTTCTTGGAATCTGTCCTAAGGAAACCAACCAGAAATGTACTTAAATATGCTGTACAAACAGGCTTGTAATACTAAAACGTTGGAAACAATCCAAATGTATCAACTGAGTTCAAGCAAACACAACAGGTATTATGCAGCCACTATAAACAGAGACATGCAGACTGAGAAAAGCCAGTTAACCACAGAACATTCAGTATAATCATATTTTTCCGAATAATCCTGTTACGTTTCTGTCCTCTACGGGTTCCACAACTTTCTGCAATGATTCTTTCAAACCTTCTCTGCTACCTCCAAACCTTTGTCTCCTCCCACTCTTTCCTAGCTCCAGGTTCATGCGACAACCACACCTACTTCCCAGAGAAAACAGACGCCACCAGAAACGACACCTGCAGCTGTCTTCTCCAACCTCACCCCTAACCCACGTAAGGCCGGTCCTTCCGCCTGTTGTCCGATCCCATAATCCTTGCTTTCAAGGAAGCTCAGACTTTTGATTTTGCCGCTTTCTCCTGCATCCTCACCCTCACCTCTTTTCTGCACTGTCCCATCAGTGCTCAAACAAGCTCCAACTGCCCTCCCATTCCCCCGCTTCGTGCACACCAGCTCTCTTCTACCCTTAGCAGCCTAACGCCTCTCCACTGCCTTACCTTCTACCCACTCCTCAACCCACTCCAATTATTTCTGACCTGGTGCTCCCCCCAGATGGATGCTGCTACACTAACCAATGTCTAGCTGCTTAATCCACATTCTCCTGTGTTGCCTCCAACATCGGGCTACTCTGCCTCCATCTTCTTTGCCAGCTCATCCTGTTCCACTCTACCCTCAAACGTCAGAGTTCCCTGAGGGCCTAGACTCCTCTCTCTTTTCACATCACAGTCTAGGCACACTCACGTCACCCTAGGCAATCTCATTCACTTCTGCAGTTTAATTACCACATATATATGTTGATAATGCCCAAACATATACCCCAGGCCAGATATCTCCTCCAGTTTCAGACTTGCATGCTTCAGGTTTCCCCTGTTGACCCAAAGATCCCTACCACTCCACAAAGCTCAAGATGGTACCCATGATCCTTCCTGAAACCCGGTCCTCTTCCAGTGGCCCTAACTGCAGAAAACAGGAACACCATGTACTCACGCATGCAAATCGGCAACTCTGGTGCCATCTCGTCACTCTCTCCTATGTTACTATATCAATAAATCTACCCACTGTATCCACACTCACTGCCAGAAAACCCTCGTCTCTCCTGGATGACCGACTGGCAGCAGCCCCCAATGACTCTCTGCCCCCAGTCCATTTTTCATCCAGCAGCCAAAATGATGGCTTTAAAATGTCAAATTTAATCTTATATCCTCAATTATTCTTAAAATAAAAGCCTACCTCCTTAACATGACCTTTATGACCTTGCCTGATTTGGCCTCAACTGACCTTTCCCCAGTCTCACTCAGCTCAAGTGTCTCTTCCTTTGCTCTCTGCATGATGGTTTTCTTCGGCTCTTCTAACGTGGCAGGCTCCTTCCACTTGGCACATGCTGTCTCTGTCTGGACTTGTCCATCCCCCCCACCCCCACCAAACCCAGTAAAGCCTACCCACTCCTCAGCTCTCAGTTCAGAAGCCTTTCCTGACCACCTCACCCCACAGTGGATCAGGTCCCTCCAACATGTCTCAACAGCACCTTTTCCTGACAGCACTTATCACGTTGTACAAGTACATATCCGTACATATTTGATTAAGGTCGTGAGACTGGAAGCTCAACACGGGCAGAACGGTGTCCACCTGGACCGTGATGATGTCCCTAGGACCTGGCACAGTGCCTAGTGCACACTATTTGCTCAATAAATATTTAAAGAACGAATGATTAGTAAGTGAAAGTTTTTTAAAAATTTGAAAGACTAGGCATTACAGTGTTGATAGTAGGATCCTTGGTGTGTCATAGATGACTTTTCCATTTTTTTTTTATATTTGTATTGTTCCAAGTTTTCACAATGAGCGTACAGTGGACTCATAGAGTATACACATTTCACTTATATGACTTCTGTTACCATATGTGCTCTTGGGAGAGAGCGAGAGACAAGAGAAATAACAGTTAAGTTTAAGTAAAGCAGCAAAGTTGGCCACTGTCCCATTTCACGAGCAGATGTCTTGCAGCGGGCTTGGGGTGGGAGACCTAAGTCTGTAATTCCATCAGTCTCGGTTCTCACAGGCTTCTCGTAGGATGGTATCTGGCTATGCTTGATGATTCTGCACAACACGGCTGAAACATGAGCCTATTGCTTAATCTAAAGCAGCAGTCTGTTTCAGTACAGGAGGAAACGCTGACTGCTAGCTTACTGAGAAAAACACGGTGTGTCGGTCTCCAAAGAGGTACCTTCTTGGGAGTTTTCAAACACCATATTTCATCAATTCTAAGATGCACATATTTTCTCATTTTAAGCAATCAGTGCAAATCGTACAATTGATAATGTGTCATAATTTAATAGGTAGCACTTTTCTTTTTTAGTGACACATAAAATAACGGTGCATCTTACAAACAGTGGCATCTTAGAGTCACTGAAATATGGTAGTTTTGATCACACGCAATTCTTGCCTAATGGGCTGCTTTTAGAACCTAACCCCCAAGAACGAATTCCATGTGATGTTCTTTTTATATTAAAAAATAATGCCATTTCCACCCTATTTGGGAAGAACAACCCCAAAACCCAGAAAATCCTGTAGCAGTGAGGGGCTGAGCTGGGCCAGAAGAAGCATGAGGCCCTCTGCTCTGGCTGGTGTGACTCCCTCCCGGCTGATCGTGGTCAGGCTCCCGGCCCGCACCCATACACACCTGGGCTCCCTCTGCTATGGCCTCTGCCGTCCACCCATGGGCAGGCACGAACTCCAGGGCTGCTGTCAGGATGCGGTGCTGCAGCTGTTCCTCGCTCTCATAGTCCTCCTCCTCCTCGCCGCCCTGGTCTGTGTACCTGAGACCCAAACCCAAGAGAGACGTGGGGACAGAGTGCAGCACACCTCATCTCACTGCCTGCTGCCCGGCACGCAAAATGTGCCTGACCAGAAACCATGGGCTCTGTGCTCCCCTAAGCACGCATTGGGAGGACATTTACTTTTGTGTCAGTATCGGTGTTTCAATGCCAACAAAGTAAAAATTAAATCCTCCTTCCCCTCTTGTATAGTCACTGAGAGAAGGGAACCAGTGAGCAAGGAAGGCTCATGAGACGGGAAGGCAGATGCTCCCACAGCACCCTGGATTTCCCTGTTTATAGCCCTCAGCACACTGCTTCTTCATCTGTATTTACACCAGATTAACTCTATGAGGACAGGGACAACAGTTATATTACTCACGGGGCCTGGTACAAAGTAGATCCTCAAAAAATAGTTGTTAAATCGAAATGAAAAGTACTTTAATCAGGAGACCAGAAAAATGACTGGGAACACTCTAATTTCAGAGCCAAAGGAACTGACTTCTCAGTGGTAGGATTAAGAAGAAAAAATATCTAATGGAAATGTAAATTATTATTACCTTTTTGGAGGGCAATACGCCCCACATATGTAACAAAATGTTAAACGAGCATATCCTTTGATTCAGTGCTCCCATTGCTGAGAGAATCACACACTTTATCACATTATTTTTCATACCAGTGAAGGAAATCTAAATATTCATCAATAAAAGATAGGTTAAATAAATTTTGGAACCGCCATTTGCTGGAATACTATGCAACCACTAAAATAGCATAGACTGTGAAAAGACATTAAAAATGTACTGTTGAGTGAAAAGACAGGTTCTAGGGCAGCATGTATAGTGTAATTAATCATTTATTATATACACAGGTTATATAGGAAATATGCTTAGAGAAACATCTAAAAGGATATTCACAAAAATGTTAGCAGAGTTATTTCTGCGTTTGTGATTTCTGGTAACTTTTGCTGTTTTGTGAACTTCTTTGTATTGTTTAGATGCTTTAGAATGCACAGGCAGCATTTTCATTAAAAAACAAAAAACAGGTTCCTTTAAAAGATAGTCTTGAATATCATGAAAAGTGAGAAGGGGGAGAGAGAGAGGAGAGGAAGGAGAACAGATACACCCAAGCATGTGAAGTGGCCAGAAATGGGTGGACTGGGGTTCTGGTGCCCACCTGGGGGGTGAACGAGAAGACTCTGGACTGGGTTCTTCTGACTGCTGTGTCTCAGAATGTTGTTGGGAAGACGGGGGAGGCTGCTGCTTCTGCTCATCTGAAGACCTCAGCTGCATCGCCGCAGCATGGAAGGCACGTGGCACCAAGGCTGGTCGGCAGCGGGACACTGCAACAGAAACCTGGCTGGTCAGTCAGGGACACTCACCAGAGAAGACCCTTTGAGACGCAGAGTGGTACGAGGGCTGGGGAAGAGGAAAAGCAGGGCAGTGTCTACTCCAGAACCACTTATCCAAGTGTTGGGTCCCAGACAAAAATCTTGGGTAAACTGGCAACCTTGCGACAGGAAGTGCAGGCAAAAGTGTGAGCTGGGAAACCGAACACCTGGCTTCTAGGCCTGTTTCTACCATCTGTTAGCTGTGAGGTAATGGTGAACCATTTCATGCCAAAGAACACGATTTTAAAACGTGCAAATTAAGAGTAATAATCTCTACATGCTCGATGGGAGTGTTGTGAGGCCCAAACAAAAAAATGAAAGTGACCTGAAAATGTTACATATTCGTATATCATGGCAAGAGCACTGGACTAGAGATTAGAAGGTCTGCATAATGACTCCCAGCGTTCACACGGTGTCTCTATCTGCTTTCTCATCTGCAATATTGCAACACTCCATTTTCTTTAGGAAAGGCCTTTTGGAAAGTAGGGTAACGTTTCCTAAGCACAAACTCAGACTACTTTTTCTTTCCCAATATTCTATTGTAAAAAATTTCAACCATAGAGACAAGTTGAAAGAATTGTGGCATGAACAACTGGACATCCACCCCCTAGGGTCTATTTATCTATCCCTCACACTCTTCATTCATCAACCATCTTATTTTTTTATGTATTTGTTGCAGACCTCAGTATTCATCATCTCTAAACACTTCAGAATGTATATCATTAACTAGAGTTCAGTATTTATCTACTGTTCTTTTATTGAGGCGACACTTATATACAATGAAATGCACAAATCTTAAATGTACCAATTCTGAGTTTTGACAAATGTACACACTTGCATAACCTGAACCCCTATCTAGAGATTATTATCACCCCAGCAAGTTCCCTCACGCTCCTGACCAGTCATTCCCCACCCACACTGTCCTGAATTTTTCACTTTAGTTTTGTCTGTCCTAGAATTTCATCTAAATAGAATCAAACAGTATGTGTTTTTTGTGTAAGACTTCTTTTGCTTAACATATTTTTTAGATTGATTCATATTTTTTTGTAAATCAGTACTTGTTACTTTTTACTGCTGAGTAGTATTCTGTTAAGAAACACTATTCTGTTGATGGACACTGGGCTGTTTCAGTGTTGGCTATTATAAATAAAGTTGCTTTGGATACCCTCGTACAAACCTTTTTGTGGACATATGCTTTCATTTCTCTGGGGTAAATACCTAGGATTTGCTGGGTCACTGGCATTAGTTTTACTAGACATATTTAGTCTGGAGTTTTGTATAAAAACAACTAAACAGCGCTCATTTTTAAAAAAATCTATGGACCAACTCAGGGAACAATGATTATTATTATTATTATTATTATTATTATTATTTTTGGTGAGGAAGATTGGCCCTGAGCTAACATCTGTGCCCATCTTCCTCCGCTTTGTATGTGGGACGCTGTCACAGCATGGCTTGATGAGCAGTGCATAGGTCCCCACCCGGGATCCAAACCTGCAAACCCCGGGCCACCGAAGTAGAGCCCTTGAACTTAATAGTGTTCGAGGTAGTGATGCCTCCGGGCCAGTCCTGGCCCCAGAACAATGATTTTAAAAGTAATACAGCACAGCATGTCTAAGAATATCAGCAGTTCAGCATATGTACAGAAAAAAATGGAGCAAATATTCATAAAACTTTGAAAAAGACAGGGGAGGTCCCAAAGCAGTATTGCAGAACCACTGGTTCACGAGAAGATTTTAGGTGAAATACAGAAGAATACTTATTTCATTAGTTATATATTCATGTTAATGTGCCAATGCATACATTCTATGTATGGAAGGTGACATGGGTTTTCCGTTTATGGTAGTGACATGAAATTTCCTCTTTCAAGCCAACTTAAATTTAACAACTCAGATGTATAAACAAAAATACTAACTATATAGTGGCAAAGGCGGTACGAAGATAGCACAGAATTACTGAAGTGGTGGGGAAACGAGTGACTTAGGAAACAATGGACTAGGCGCTCTCTGTGGCTGTTTCCAACTCTGTCCCTCCAGGGGTCCTGGCCCAAGGACTTGGCAATGAAGTTAAGAGACTGGGTCCGAGTCGCCAGTTCGGCAACAACCTATGTGGCCTTGGGCATCTCCAACCCTCTGCAGGTGACAGGCCCTGCTCCGCTGCTCTTACCCCTCACAGCTCGAGACTAGGGGCAGAAGCCAGCCAGACAGCCCGTTCAAGCCCGGGATGCCCGCGGCTCCGCGTCCGTGCCCTTCACCTCACCTTGCACGCTGGCCGCCACGACGGTCTCTACCGCCCCGCACCCAGCCCAGGTCCACCTCGCGCCCCCTCCCCGCTCCTCCCTGCTCCCCGGCTCGGCCACCCCCTCACCGGGCATGCCCCGCAGCTGCAGGAGCCTCCAGCCCACCCGACCAAGCGCGCCCGACACGGCCGCCGCCATCTTGGAAGCGGGCACGCTGCCGACGGCGACGCGACGGGCAGCCCCGGGAGCGCGGCGCGGGCACTTCCGCCCTCCGCGCGCCGCCCGAGCCTCCTCCTCTCGCGAGAGGCGCGAGGCGCGGAGCCGGCGGCTGCGGACGAGCCGGGAGCGAGCCCCGGGAGGCAGGTGAGCGCTGCTCTGGCGGTTGGCGAACCCGACCTACCCCAACGGTCCCCTCCTGGCCCACCCTCGTCCCCAGCTCCTGTTACTTGCTATTCCCAGGCCCGTCTCTCGGGGGGAACACGGCCACCTCCCCGAGGACCACGGCGGGCTTCTGCCCGGGGGAAGCCGGCGTGGGCGGCCGGCCGGCTCTGCCTGCGCCGGGCTCCTGGCGCCGTGCTTCTCGTCCTTCCCGGGCTGCCTGGTCTCTCACCCTGCTGGCCCCGGTCTGAGACCCCCGGACAGCGCGCTGAGGAGGAAGGGCCCTGAGCTGGGGTCCGGGAGACCTGGTCTGAGCCCGCTTCTGCCAGTAGCCGGCTTTGTGACCTTGGGCCTCAGTCCCTCTTCTCGCACGTTGGGGGAGCTGGAGTTTCGGTCTTGGGGGGGGTACCCGAACCTCCAAGGTGTTGAGTTGGTATAACTGAGTATTTCCCAAACTTGCCAGATCGGAAGAACCATCTAGGATGCTTGTTAATACATCGGTACCCAGGTCTTTCTCCTGGAGAGTTGATTCAGTACATCTGGGTGTAGCCCAGGGATCTTATTTTAACAAATGCCCCAGGTGATTTGTAGGATCTGCAAGTTTGGGAGAGGCTGGTGGCGTTCGTTCTGACGCTGAGTGCCAAGCTCTGGTGACTCAGGGAGGTCATGGACTAGTCACTAAACAGATATGTAGATGCAGAGCGCCTCACTGGGATATTGATCATCAGGGAAGGCTTCATATTCGTAGGAAGACTAGAGAGTTTGTGAATTTTCGGGATTAGGGACAACAGGAGCTAAGTATGTCATTCTGTAAATTTTGCCTTTGCTGTTGGACCCTTGTCTGTGTATCTTTTGTGCACACCTCTTATCAACTCTAGTTTTTTCAAAACATCTTGATCTCTCCTAAGCCAAAACTACTCCTGAAATGTTAACTTCAGATGTTAATTTCAGATCCATATCTCTAGATTTTGGTAAAACACTACTGATCTCTCCATGAGGTTTTATTTTCTGAGTTCTGTCCACCTGTCTTCAAATGAGCCCTTCCTGTGGAAATTCTAGCACTTGGGTGTCCTTTCTGAAACCCTTAACTCTTGACACACACCTAATTGCCTGGAGACAAAGTCTTCCATTTCTTTTCTTTTGAGTTTCCCATCTCCTTGCTGATTGTCACCTTTTTTCTGTTTGTGTGTGTGTGTGTGTGTATACATGCACATGAGCTTCAGTCAGTTTGTAACGGAGCAAAAAGGGGCCGTTCTACCTGCCACAGTCCAGTGCCAATCAATTGCAAACGAGTTGGTGGTTGAGAAAGGAGAATTTATACGATTAGCTAGCACAATCAGAAGATGGTGGACTAGTGTCCTAAAGAACCATCTTAAAGTCATACAGAATCTTGAGGCAGTTACATAGGGGAAATGGGCAGGGAAGGAGGGGGTTTAGGGATGTCGATCATCCAGTGTGACAAACTTCAAGGTGTCTCATTATCTCTTTCTTCTGTCATTTGTGAGGGGTGCCAACGCAGTTTTTCTTCCTGGAGGTCATCATGCTCCTTGGGAACTCCAAGAACAAAGTTATCCTTATCACAGCTGGGAGATGTATGTGAGCAAGAGTCATAGAACTAGCAGATCATGTATTTTGCAAAAGTGAGAAGTGCTTAATCATCTAGGCTACGTGCAGGCTAGAGTGCATTCTCAGGGACTAGTGAGTCAGGCTCACAGTTGCAGTATTGCCTCCTTTCCCTAAGATGGCTTCCCTCATGCTAACTTAAGATCTAGCTGTTACAAGTTCATTTTAATTAAAATTTTCCTTTCTGATAACTGTAAGTATTCTCAGTTTTTTTTGTTTTTTTTTTTGTGTGTGTGAGGAAGGTTGACCCTGAGCTAACATCCCCTGCCAATCTTCCTCTTTTTGCTGAGGAAGATTAGCCCTGAGCTAACATCTGTGCCCGTCTTCCTCTGTTTTGTATATGGGATGCCGCCACAGCATGGCTTGATGAGCGGTGCGTCAGTCTGCGCCCGGGATCCGAACCTGCGAACCCTGGGCCACCAAAGCAGAAGGTGTGAAGTTAATCACTACACCACCAGGCTGGCCCCTCTCAGAATTTTTTATGCACCTGACTTAAAAGGATTCAATCTTTGGTTTGAACTGATACCCAAACTTCAATCTTATTTTTTCTTTTGGGCCCCATCATTGTTAAGAAGAGCCAGATGCCTCAAGATTTGTTGTTTAGTGGGAACCTTCAAACAAGTGCCTCTCCAGAAGTTATTCTCAGACGTCGGCTTTCACTGCCTGCCAGTAACGTTTAGAAGAGCCATGGGCGTGTGTGCAGCAGTCAGTGATGTGACAATGACTTCTACTCCACCTCTTTTTAGTTGTGAAACCGGGCTCTGAGTCATACTTCCAAATATGTTGACTTAGATGCTGGACATTTTTTCCTTTCATTTTTTTAAAAAACAGGTTGACAACAACACAAAACTCTGATGATGAAGAGTATCACACTTTGGCTTTTAGATGTCTAAAAGAACATTGTCCCCATTTTATTTGGAAAATGCTGACCAAAAGTGATGGCTATGTCTGTTTTTTGAGGGTTAATGTTTAATAAGTGTATTTTATGAGTTCCCTCTTGCCGTAGAGAAATAGTTTTGGGGAATGTGGAACACAAAGCATTTTATGTTCTTCTAATTGACTGACACAATCCCACTGGAGTACTAAGATGTCGTAAAGTGCGGCTCTTATACCGTGTAATTCTAACAATGAAAAAGGAACTTCACGGCTCTCCCTGGGGAGTCCCCCCAGCAGGCATGGCTGAGGAGGAAGAACAGGTTTTATAGGACTATGTGAAGCAAAGGCAAATAAACTGGCCACCGAGAAGAGGCGGCTCCGAGTTCTCTTAGAATGTTATTTTATTGAGTTCTATGTGCCAGGCCCTGCTAAGTGCTTTACATATTTTCATCCTCTTGTTTACTTCTTATAGCAGCTTTGCAAATATATTATTATCCTCACTTTATCGATGAGAAAAGAGAGAGGCTAATAACCATGGTCATGTAGCTAACAGGTAGAAGATCCAGTGGTAGATAGAAACCCAGGCCATATGTATTCAGAAACTGTGCTCTGTAAACTCTGCCTCCATAAAGGTTGCTGAAGAGGTCTAGACATCTGGCTTTGTGTTTTTCTCTAGCTAGTGGGTAACCTTGGGCTCCTCTCTCATGAGGGTTTTTCTGTGAGTACAGTGCAAGGTTGTAGTAGTCACTTGTGGGCAGGGAGCTTGTCATGGCTTTCTGTCATCCCAAGGGAGAACCTGTTCCAACATCGTTCTAGAAAAAGGTCGTTTATTTCTTATAAATCAATGCCTAGCAATCCATATTCCTATCTTCCCTGGCTGGTTCTTAAATGGGAATTGATCCCAAGTTGCTCACCTTAAAGGTTTGCAAGGGTTCTGCCTCCACATCATGTGACAGTTAAAAGCTTAAAGTTTCAGTTCTTTTTTTTTGCTGAGGAAGACCGGCCCTGAGCTAACATCTATTGCCAATCCTCCTCCTTTTTTTTTTTCCCCTCCTTTTTCTCCCCAAAGCCCCAGTAGATAGTTGTATATCATAGTTGCACATCCTTCTAGGTGCTGTATGTGGGACGCCGCCTCAGCATGGCCGGACAAGCAGTACATCGGTGTGCGCCTGGGATCCGAACCCGGGCTGCCAGTAGCAGAGTGCTCACACTTAACTGCTAAGCCACAGGGCCGGCCCCTAAAAGTTTCAGTTCTTGATTGTGTGCTTTTCAGGGATTTAAAAACCACAATTCAGTGACTAAGGAATCCTGCTTGTGTGATAACGCTTGGCATCTTTTTACTACAGCTTGCAGTCAGGATAATAAAGAGTGGGCATTCCACATGGAAGGAACTGGATAAAAAGCTTGATAGAGTGAAAATGCAAAGGTTTTTCATAGAACAAGGAGAATTCACTTTGGAGGGGAGGAGATACAGGTAGAGCCAGATTATGGAGGACCTGAATCCAGAAGGCTAAGGAGGCTTGATTTTGCTCTAGAAAAGAACACCTTTAGTAACTCCTTTAGGAAATGAACAACAAGATCAAAGTGTTATAGTATTTAAAGATGACTGGCCAGCTGGGCATGTTTTGTAGGCAGAGGAGCATGTCATTTGAAGTGAACATTTTTAAAGAAGGAGCATGGTTTAAATTCAGTCCCAGAGTGCCTGTGATGGCATAGTCGTCGCTGAGTTAGCCACCTCTACAGAAGACAGAAGTGTTCAGTATAAGGCTGATCCATGCTTGACCCCTCTACCACAGCTTCTGTCTTTATGTCACTTACTAGAGCTATTTTAAGTCGGAAACTTGGTGGCATTAATGTTTAAGAAAGAAAGGAGGAACTGAGTAGAGCACTATCTCCTGACTTAATTTCACTGTGAGCCCATTCTATACTCCTGCGAGTATCAAGTGCAAGAGAAAGTTGATCCGTAGGGGAAATTTCCATGGGTTAAGAGCATGGGCTTTGCAGTCATATGGATATGGATGCAAATGTTGGCTCTTAGTTTATCCACACAACACTTCCTAGTTGACCTGGGCAAATTCTACACCCTCAGTTTCCTGGCTGTGAAATGAGAATAATATCTAGTGTAAGGTTGTTCTGAGGTTCAATTGAAATGGTGGTGTCTATGAAGTGCTTTGAATAGTCTGGCTGATGTTAAATGTTAAAGAAAGACATGGTAGAGACTATTGATCACAGCAGATACGATGAAATTGAATTTTCATATTTTGATGAAAGGGAAAATATCATTATTCCATTTGCTCAATTTAAATATGTTGTCTCTTTTTTAAAAAGCGTTAAGCGTGTGGTTGGGTTATGTCTGCTGATTTATTTGCATTCCTTTCTGAGTCATACTTCTGCCTAATTAATGTCCTGTGTGTTTTATATTCTGTCTAAGCTGAGTTGTCTCAAATCAAAGAGGAAGTAATCTTTCTGCCTTCAACCTCTTTACTTGACTGCCTAGTCAGGATTCTCACCAAGGGAGCCACCTGCCTGGTTTGGAGTGTTGGGGTTATGAAACTCGGACACAGTGGGTTCATTTACTCAGACTCTGGTATCAACAGTAAGATTTTCTAATGTGGTCAGCATTCCCCGGCAGGAGGTCGGAATTAGGTTGTGATCTAATCATATTGGATGGTACTCCCTGGAATAAATTGCACTTTTGTCGCTGCTCAGTCATGACTCTCCCTTGGCCCGTAGTTTTTAGGTCTGCAGCACTGCAGGAATGGCAGATTTTGGGATCTCAGCTGGCCAGTTTGTGGCAGTGGTCTGGGACAAGTCATCCCCGGTGGAGGCTCTGAAAGATCTGGTGAATAAGCTTCAAGCGTTAACTGGCGATGAGGGCCAAGTGTCCGTGGAAAGTATCAACCAGCTGTTGCAGTGTAAGTACCTACCCAGGTTGTCTTTACAGGCTAGGGGGTGTTGATGGAGCGCTGCGTTTCTCTGGTCCCTTGATAGCTGAGTTTTTGTTTTAGGTGGCATGTAATAGTAGGGGGTGGTCACCCTGTTGTTTTTCAGGTGAAATATAGTGGATCTAGGAGTATAGTTGATTTGTATAAGTGTGTCCTTGTTCTTATTAGATAGTCCACATTTTTTAAAAAGCTTACTCTTTATCCAGCTTTCTTTTTTTATTTATTTTTTTGTGAGGAAGATCAGCCCTGAGCTAACATCCGTGCTAATCCTCCTCTTTTTGCTGAGGAAGACCGGCTCTGAGCTAACATCTATTGCCAATCCTCCTCCTTTTTTTTTGCCCCCCCAAAGCCCCAGTAGATAGCTGTATGTCGTAGTTTCGCATCCTTCTGGTTGCTGTACGTGGGACTCGGCCATGTGGCTGGAGAAGCGGTGCGTTGGTGCGCGCCCGGGATCTGAACCCAGGCCGCCAGTAGCGGAGCGCGCTCACTTAACCGCTAAGCCACGGGGCCGGCCCTATCCAGCTTTCTTTGTTACTATTTCCCTGAACGTATAAGAGGCTGTGAAATTAGTAAGACTGCAGGAGAGCAGGGCAGCAGCGTCGTTGCCCCTCTTGCTAGTAACGGTGGTATAACAGCATTTGCTGGACAGGTAGGTGTTCATTCTCCCAGGGCCAGGCCCCTAGCCTTTGTGGGGGCTCGGGAAGGAGTGGGAGATTGCTTCTGGGCCCCAGGCAATTGCTGATTAGAGTCTTCCTTCTTTTCAGCTGCCCACAAAGAGTCGAGTTTTGACATTATTTTGTCCGGCGTGATTCCTGGAAGCACTACTCTGCACGGTCCTGAAATTTTGGCTGAGATTGCCCGGATCCTTCGGCCTGGTGGATGTCTTTTTCTGAAAGAGCCAATAGAGACAGCTATGGGTAAGGAAATCTTCATTTGAAAGACTGGAACTGAACAGGGTTGAATCTTTAGTTTCAGAGATTGTTTAGTTTCAAAGTATGTTTGCTGTATTTCTCTGAGGTGTCCTTTAGAGATCAATATTCCTAAAGCTGAACCTTCTCCTTAGGGATAAATTATTGTAAAAATTTGAAGCAGCACATCTGAAAAATTGTGGTCTTTGACTCATTAGTAGAAGGAACTGCCTATCTGAAAATGGCTGGGTCCTTCAACAGGTGAGTGGTTAAACTGTGGCACATCCATACCATGGAGAGCTATGCAGCAATAAAAAGGAACAAACCATTGATTTGTGCAACAACTCCGATGAGTCTCAAGGGAATCTTGCTGAGTGAAAAAAGCCAATCTCAGAAGGTTACATGCCACATGATTCTGTTCACAGAACATTTTTGAAACAACAAAGTTGTAGTAATGAAAACAGATTGGCGGTTGCCAGGGATTAGGAATGGGAGAGAGCGGGTGCGTGAGGCTGGGAAGGGTAGTAGGAGGGTTCCTTGTGTTGAAGGAATGTTCTATATCTTGATTACATGAATCTACACACATGATAAGATTGTGTAGAACTACACACACACACACACACACACACACACACACGCATGTAAAACTGGTGAGATCTGGATAAGCTCTGTGGACTACCAGTGACAATTTCCTGGTCTTCATACTGTGCTATAGTTTTATAAAATGTTACCTTGGGAGAAACAAGGTGAAGGGTCCTGGAGACCTCCCTGAACTTTTTTTTTTTTTAACTTCCTGTGCCTCTCTAGTTATTTCAAAATAAAAAGTTAAAAAATAATGACCGGAAGTCTGGGAGTGATTCATGTGAAACTAATGATAGAATCCAAGAAATAAAAACCTCTCTTTTTTGCTCAGTGTTGAAGCTGTCGAAGAGTCATTCAGTTCTGAATTTTTAGCATTTTTTACTAGACTTTCCATCAAAAGGTGATGACTTGTTTCATCAAATAAGATAATAGAAATGAAACTATTGTGAAATGTCTGAAGGCGTTTATGTGGAAATATAAACTTGTGACGTATATAGTAGGTCAGCATTCTTTCCTGGGAATTTAAAACCTGGGTGGCTAAGCACAGAGTCTCTTTGTAAAACTATATGGAGAGTATACCTGTGTACTTTACAGTTTCTAAGCCTCTTTCTTAACCATCATCCAACAACCCCTGGAAGGTTAGGTGTTTCCAAGAAGCAGAGAGTGATAAGTTATAACAATAATGGAATTCTTATCTAACACTTAAGAGCGTAGGTAAGTGTGCTTTGAACAACCAAGAGGATTTGTTGTATTAAAATACTGTCACTGAAATATGTATATGTTAATCAGAATAGGTTATTATTGTTTAATGCCTGCTGACCAGACACGATAGAGCCTTTATTATTTTCCCTGCTTTGACCTATAAAGCTGTTAACGGGGTTTTCCTCTTGGCAGTTAACAATAGCAAAGTGAAGACGGCGTCTAAGCTGTGTTCAGCCCTGACTCTTGCTGGTCTTGTGGAAGTAAAAGAGGTATGTTGGTAGACAACGTTCTTTCTGGGAATTTAAACCTTGGGGTAGTAAACCCAGGATCTCTTTGTCAGACGATACAGAGAGAATCGGGGGAAATAACAGCCTTGAAGGTGAGGTGATCAGTGTCACTTAGACTAGGAAACAAGTTGAGAAGTGCTTTGCTCAAAGAACAAAACATCCGGGAATAAATCTCCTTGGAAGAGATTCATCTTGTGTCCATGCGGGTTGGGGCACATTCTGGTCTCAGGACTGGTTTAGTGGTGGTGACTACTATGTCAGTAAGGTCATATGTATGTATTGTTCAGTCACTAGCTTTTTAGGAATCTTAGACATTCATCCACCTCAGTGTATTTCCCCTCATTCTTATTAATAATGAACCATATTCAGTGCTATAGATGGACTATGATTTATTTAACCATTCTATAAGTGTTGGACATAGAGGTAGTACCCCTACCTTTTTTTCTACCTTTACCGTCTGCGACTTCTTCCCAAGGAACATAGAAAGCATTTCCCTCCCCCCATGTTTCTTTTTCTCGTCTATTTCATTTCTACATCTTCATTGTGGGCCTGCTTCCCCACTATAGGCTTTGACCCTATGCAACAGGACCATTCCTGATTCATCTTTGTAATTGTAGTCATCGCAACCCCCACAATGACTAGCACAGTGCCTTGTACCTAATAGGTAGATATTTGATAAGTACTTTAAAACTTTCCAAAGGGAGGCTTAAAGTAAAACGTGCAGACAGAAGTTACATTGCAGGGTTCTGATCAGTGAGAAACTGAAAGTGAGGCACGAGGTGCTGTCTCTCGGCTCCCACTGTTGTATACTTAATGCACAGAAACGAGTGTCTGGCTCCTGTGTAGGTGGACACAGTGAAACATCGTTTTGTAGAAGGAGTGTGGCCTAATCCTCTTGATGTCTTGAATTCCAGCTGCAGCGGGAGTGCTTGAGTCCTGGGGAGATGCAGTCTGTCCAAGAACACCTGGGCTACCAGAGTGACAGCTTGCTCTCCATGCAGATCACAGGCAAAAAACCCAACTTTGAAGTGGGTTCTTCTAGTCAGCTTCCGCTTTCTACTGCCAAGAAGTCTTCTCCTTCGGGTAAGGATGGCTTAGGGACGTTCTTCTGTCTGAATGGGCCTGGAAGGACGTATTAGAAATTGATCCAGAGATCTAAATGAGGCAGTGATATTTTTAGAGGATTAGTCCTTCCTTAATTTCTGTCATTTCCAAATAGAAGAGTGCTTAGTTATCCTGGCATATCTGGATCCTAAACTGAAGTAATGCATAGGTATTGTGTAGTTCATCCCCTTCTTCTGCACCAGGGGACACTGAGGCGGCCTGATTCTGGAGGCCTGAGTCACAAAGCTTAGCTCAGGAAGCATTTCCAGGCCCCAGAACTATACCATTTGTCCTGAGAAGACCTCACAGGGGTGGGGATGGTAGATAAGAGTGCTCTGTGCCTCATCCCACGTGTCCTTTATTTCTGTGCCAGTAAAGTCAGCTTTTCTTACTTTGAGGCTCCTAAGACACTTGTAAAAATATTTCTTCTGCTCAGAAAATTACACCTCCCCCTTTACCACCACCCTCACCCTTCCTATCACTATTTTTTAATGCCTGAATTGAGAGAAATTGTCCCAGCTGTGAGGTATGCAGAAACTTACAGTACATTCACACCGCTCTATTTTGACTGTCCAGCCTAAGGCTCCAAGAAATCCTTGGGAATCCTAACCTCTGGAGTCGTAGTTCCAGAACGGGTAGGAGCAGCTTAGATGCGCAGTTTGCTCGGGGAAGGTCTGAGCATCTGGTGGTGACAGTGATCACTAGGGGGTGCACTAACCCCCAGGCCCATTTCAGGACCTGCCCGCACTGAATCCGGGGTCTCAGCTCTGTCCCGCCCTTCCTTGCCTTCTCCTGGCCTAGACAGAGAATCAGGAGCTGGGAGGTTTGTGTCTGCCACTGATTTGTGTTTTGCTTGAGCTCTAGGCCCTATTTTCTGGTGTGTAACAAGTTGATGTGAGGCTAAAGCTTTGCTATTTATGATGGTTTTTGACACACATTTTCATTTAATCCTCCAGTCTCCTGCAGTAGGTATAGGGAGTACCATTAGCCCCGTGTTCTAGGATGGCTGCGAAGATAAGGAGAAGAAAGCGCTATGGAGTGGAAGTTCAGAGCATTAGACAGACTGGTATTTGTGGCTTCGTGTGACTGGCCTAAGTGTCTAAACCTGTTTCCTCATCTAGAAAATTAGGATGATAAATACCTCATAAGGTTGTTCGCAAGATTAAATTAGATAATGTATATAAAGAGCTTGATATGGTGTCTGGTACAAAGCCAGCGCTTGACAAATGGTGGCTTCTGTTACTCGTAAAGCCATTGGCCCAGCTCATGCCTTTTATAAGTGGTACAGCTGGGCCCCGAACTCCCGGTCCAGTGTGTTCTCTACAGAGTTTCAGTAGAAGCCCTTACGTATGCTTGCAGTTTGTTTCCGGCTGCTTTTATGGAGCTGTTTTTCTTTTATTGTTTGGACTCAGTGAAGCCTGCTGTGGACCCTGCAGCTGCCAAGCTCTGGACCCTCTCAGCCAACGACATGGAGGATGACAGCGTGGTGAGTCGGCCCTGTGGTCACTTGATTGCTTTCTTTTAGGCCCCACTTTGGGTATGAGTGGTTGAGGTTTGGAGTGGCCTCTCTGGACTTGTAGGTGTGAGAGTATCTAAGCCCAGTGTTGTGGCTATGCCGTCCCTGGCATTTTGATGCAGAAGGAAACTCCACATTAGTGCCATTTTAAATTTCTTTTTCACCATCTCTTTTCCCCACAGATTTTCTTGTTCTCACTTCATGTGATATAGTAAAGACTCTTGTGGGCATGTGTAAAGCAGTTTGTCAGCTGAAGTATTTATGCAGCTCCTCTATCTGGGCCAGTCACTGAACGCTCACTGTCTTAAAGCAGTACTTCCCTTTGATCAGTGCTGTCTGTAGTCAAGTGCTGCATTTCTAGAACCATTGGAGTTACAGTGGTGAGCAAAATAGGCTATGGTTCATGCCCTCCTGGACTTACAGGTTAATTGTCTGCATGGTTATTGAAGAATTACACAAATGTATCAGTATTTGCCTTTTTCTCTGGAATTATATAGAAAATATTTTATTCTCCTTTTCATATGACAGCCCTTTATATATTTAAATAAATATAACACTTCTCTCTTTGTTCTTCCTGCTCCCTCTCCCACCCCCACACGTATATATTCTCTACACATTGTGGATTAGTTCCCAGTCCCCTCACAACCTAATGCCTCTCCTGTGCACGTAGTTTAGGTCACTGTGGTGGTCAGCGTGAGCACGGCGTGATCAACCCAAAGTAGGACCGCGGATGCCTTCTTTACACGCAGAGTATAAACCTGCTGCGGCCGCCAGTGACCACTTCAGCTTTTCGTTAGCAGAGACCATGGCCTTGTCACTAATTGCTTCCATCACTCTTCAGGATCTCATTGACTCAGATGAGCTGCTGGATCCAGAAGATTTGAAGAAGCCAGATCCAGCTTCGTTGCGGGCTGCTTCGTGTGGAGAAGGGAAAAAGAGGAAGGCCTGCAGGAACTGGTGAGTGTGGGCGTGGGCACGTCTGCTGTGCTGCTTCCCGAGGCTTCTGATGCTCCAGGAATCGCAGGACTTGACTATTATTAAAACATAGTTTTGTTGCAAAATGTATCATCAAGAGTATATATAGTTTTGTTGCAAAATGTATCATCAAGAGTATATTACACAGGTACATTTTAAAGAATAATAAAATGAGCACCCGTGTACTGATGACCCAGTTTAAGAATCAGAGACGTTGCTAGTACCTTAGAAGTCACCTCTACATCCTGCCTCAGCTGCATCTCCCTCCCTCTCCCCCAGGAGGTTACCATTCTCCTAAGTTTCTGTTACTCATTCCTGGCTTTCATTCCTGGCTTTTTGTCCGTGTGTGAGGAACGTTAGTCCTGAGCTAACATCCATGCCAATCCTCCTCTTTTTTGCTGAGGAAGATTGGCCCTGGGCTAACATCCATGCCCATCTTCCTCTACTTTATATGTGGGACGCCTGCCACAGCATGGCTTGATCAGTGGTGCGTCGGTCTGCGCCCGGGACCTGAACCTGCGAACCCCAGGCTGCAGAAGCGGAGCTCGTGTACTTAACCGCTGCACCACCCGGCCGGCCCCAAGCCATTTTGATTTTTGATCCTTTCTGTAGGATCTCTTTTTCCATTTTGGGAGTTTGTAGAATCTTCTTTATCCCCGGTATCATTTTGTAATCACATGTCTTGAATAGTAATCTGTTTTCATCTTTGGCACCAGCCACTCAGTGCATCTTTTCAATCTAGAAAGTCCTGTCCATAGGCCTGGGAAACATTCTTTAATTGTGCATATGACTTGTGTCTTCTCTCTCTGTAGCCTGTCACTCACAGGTTGGACTTCTTTGATTGGTCCTATAATTTTCTTTTCTCTCACATTTTCCTTATGCCCACTTTCTGGGAAATGTCTGCAGGTTTATCCTCCAAAACCTCTCTTGAGTTATTTCATTTCTACTATCATGTTTTTAGTTTCTAAGATTCCTTTTTTTCTTCTTGACTTTTTTTTAATGTAGCACCTATTTTCATTGTGTGGATGTGAGCTCTTCCCTTTTCTCTTTAGGCTGGTAATAGTCCTTTCGAGGATTTTTCCTCCCTGCGTGGTCTGTTTCCTCCAAGTTGCTTTTTTCTTTTAGTTTGGTCTCTGACTGCTATGTACAGACTTTCTTAAGATGCCTAGTAACCCTTGGTAGTCTTCATGATTAAGAGTGGAGAACAGAAAGCTCGCTGGGAGCGCTGAGCATATAGGGAGGATTTGTTGACTGTGCTTTAGTAAAGGGAACGTGGGGGGGGCCTTTGGGGGATGCCCCAAAGTCAGTATCTTTGGGTCTTTCCTTTTGGATTGGTTAGATTTCTCAGAGAAGGTCTTCCTGGTGCTGCCCATTCCAGTGCCGTTGGAGGTTTCAGGGTGTAATATGGGTTGATACTCAGCCTTCCTCACTGCGGCTTGGAGTTGAGCTTCCTTCAGTCTGTTAAGTCAGTTTTCCCTCCTCCGTCAGCTTCACAGTTTCCAACACTATTGCCATAGTCCTTGTCTTTGCGGGTTTATGTCTTGACTGCACTTTTGGTGGGATTTTGAGGGAAAGTAAAATTAGGTGCACGCATTCAGTCTGTCCTCTTAACCTGGAAACCTTGGCATTCGTATTTTTACATTAGTTTTATAAGTGGATGGAAAGGGTGGTAAAACCTTAACTGGTGGTGTGCAGGCTTGTTTAATTATGACTTTTTTTTAAATGTGCAAGTTTGCCAACATTTACAAACCAGATTTCAAGTAAAAATCCTAATTTTTTTTTTCAGTTCTTAACTTTTGCACATACGGCAACACTGGGTCAGCTTTTCCCACAGCGTTCATCACTGAGGCTGAGTGGTGGCTGGCCTTTGTCGACAGGGCATCCCCCCCGGTCCCCCATTCCCCACCACTCTTGCTGTCTCCCTAAGCAGCATCACGCACGTCTTATCTGCCTGGCCCCGCAGGCATTTGAGTTCTGACGCCCTGAGATGAGGAGGAGAGTCTTAGGGTGCGTTCTGGCACTGCCAAGGGTTTGGAGGCTCGGGGCGGTGGCAGATGTCACTCATCAGCACTGTTTCCCCCAGCACTTGTGGCCTTGCAGAAGAGCTGGAAAAGGAGAAGTCGAGGGAACAGATGAGCTCCCAACCCAAGTCGGCTTGTGGAAACGTAAATATCTGGATCGTTACTCGGTATTCACAACCCCCCATGGCACTGGGCATCACCCTAAACTAAACACAGACCAGCTCCGGCTCTGAGGAGCTCACCGCCCAGATACTTTAATAAGAGGCGAATGTGCGCGAACACGTATGTAGGTAGTACCGGGGGAGAGTGGGTACCTCCTGAGGGTCGGTTAGCACACTCATGCCCGGAAGGGCCCCTTTCTTCCTCCTCTTTAGTGGGCCTGATGTTATTCAGCCATTCGGCTGAGCTCGGCTACGATCTGAACTGCTGAGATCATGGAAATATGGCCTCCTAAGGAACTTTTCTAGGCCGTTGTTTTTATGAAACCAGAGATCTTAAAAACTCTTAGGATGTGGGTTCCAACTGGACCTACAGATGCACCCTGCCATTTCCTCCAGGCCCCTGTGCCATGTGATGAAATTAGGGCTCCCTTTCCTCTGGCCTGTATCTCTGGGGTAAGCTGACCCTCAGCTTCCCTGTGTGGTTGTCTCTTCTCTCAACAGTGCTACTTGGGCGATGCTTTCCGCTGTGCCAGCTGCCCCTACCTTGGGATGCCAGCCTTCAAACCTGGGGAGAAGGTGCTCCTGAGCAATAGCAATCTCAATGATGCCTAAGAGGGACCCAGCATGGGACACATCTGCTCCTCCAGCCAACTCCTGTCCCTCTGATCCCACCATTGTGGTTCCTCCCATCTCCCCTGGATTTGCTCACTCTGTTTGACATCCATTTGCGGGGAGGGTGTTAGCAGACAGTGAAGCTGGCTATGGGGGGCAGTGGTGTGTGGTGCTGCTGTGTATCAAAGACCAAGGTTACCCTGAGCGGGGGACCTGTTTCTTCAACTGGTATTAGGAAAGGGAGTGCGTCCTGAAGAGGCCCCTCTCCCGATGTCAGAATGCTGACCGTGGCACTCTCTAAGCCCAGATGTCCTCGAGTATGAACGCTCTCACAGACAGCCCGGCCCTTGGTCTGAGCTCAGCAGTAGAGCACTGCTTGTCTTCCTGAGGGGTGGCTTCCTCAACACGCAGTTCTTGGTGACGAGAGTCAGGCGTCTCATGTCTCCTCAGGTCTCCAAAGGAATTGCTCCTTGGTCGCTGTGATCACATCCGGTGTCCCTCTGCCCCTCCACTCCCACCCCCACTCCATTTTACTCTGTTGTATCTGTGTCCTGTTGTCATTTCTGTTAATCTGCAGTTATTAAACTCGTGTACCTCTGCATATCAGCTGTGAAGGGGGGTGTGTGTGTGCGTGTGTGTGTGTGTGTGTGTGTGTGTGTGTGTGGTGTCTTTCCTGGAGAGACTGTGTCACATACAGATGGGGCCAGGCCTGCACCAGGGACCAGGGCCTCTGTCCACCTACTTGAGAAGAGTCCGGGTTGATGAGAATCTAGAGGAGCGGGACAGAGACCTGGAGCAGCCGTAAATCTCCCCGAGCGGGCGGCCCTTCGTTCTCCTGGTTGCCCGCCCACCCGGACGTGGAACGGATCTTGCCAAACAGTTGCAGAGATTGTGTGGATTTAAGAGACCTGGAGTTTTACATTTTACCAATAAATAAAAGTTCATTGGTATTTGTCCTTGAAACTTGACTTGATTCTCTAAGTTTGCTTGTGCTTATGCTGGTCCCTGCTGGTGGATTTCAGTTAAAATGGGTGTGGCTGAATTCTGGTTTGACTCCCAAGCCCGTGTGGTAGGCAGAATTCTAAGAGGCCCCCCAGCCCCCGTGCCCTTGTGTAGTCCCCTGCGCCTGAGTGAGCAGGACCTGTGAGTACGATGGGGCATCGCTACTGTGATTAGGTTACATGATGGGGCAAAAGTGGAGGGATTTTGTGATGTAGCTGAAATTCCTAAGGGACCTTCAGTTAAAGGGATAATATCCTGAGTGGGCCTGACCTCATCAGTTGGCCTATAAAAGAGTGGAGAACTGCGAGTTCTGTTGCTGGCCTCCTCAAGTTCAGGTGTCATGAGGGCCTGTGAGATGCCCACGGGCGGGGAACCACGAGTCACCTCCAGGAGCCGAGAGCCGAGCCCACTGACCACCAGGGAGAAGAGGCCCCAGCCCTGCAACCACAAGAAGAGAAATTGGAACTGAACAGCACGGGAGCTCGGAAGAGGACCTGAGTCCGGAGGAGAGTGCGGCCTCTGTGCCTGAACCCCTGGCATCGGAACTTGAGACCGTAAGTGTGTGTGGTTTTAAGCCGCTGGATTTGTGGTAATTTGTTACACAACAATGGGAAACTAGCACAGCCCCAGACTGGGTGTAACGTCAGTAGACGCTCGTCAGGCTGCTGGGCCGGCCGCTGTTAGTGGATTCTGCTGCAGTTGCCAAGGTGAAGGACGACAGTCTCTACCTGAGGCTGAGGACAGGAGACCCTGAGCCTCATGGCCTCCTGGAACGGGTGAGCAGAGCCCTGGGCAAATGCCACGAGCCCTTGCCCACCTGAGTCTCATCCTGCGTCCCCGCCGCTACTAACACCGTGGCCACCACTGCCTCCTATGCTGCTCTGGGCGTCGTTAGTGGTCCCACGTTGGCTGCTGCTGCGTCGCTCCACAGGAGGGCTCCGGGAGGCCGCCAGTGCTGGCGGGCCAGCGTGTAGAGAGAGGCCCTGCCAGTCAGCCGTGCATGGCTCACTGCGGCTCCGCACAGCGAGGAGACGCTGGAGGACAGCTAGTCCTCGCGCCTCCTGACCGAAAGACAGCAGTTCTAAGTCAGAGCCAGAAGCCGGCTCAGATGTGGCCGAATGCAGCCTCAATTTACGTTTGAGGAAGCCGGATGGGACAGAGAGTGACCTGCTGCCGACAGTCACCAGAGGACCTTTCTACTTTTTTTTTTTTTTTTTTTGTGGTGAGGAAGATCAGCCCTGAGCTAACATCCAATGCCCATCTTCCTCCACTTTATATGGGACGCGGCCTCAGCGTGGCCTGACAAGCGGTGTGTCAGTGCGTGCCCGGGATCCCAACCCGGGCCGCCAGCATTGGAGCGCGCGTTTAACCGCTACGCCGCGGGGCCGGCCCTCCTGAGGACCTTTAAAGGCGCAGGTGCCCCACCTCCTTGGACATTCTCTCAGCAGGCCTGCGGTGGGGCTGGGGAATCTTAATTATTTTTTTCTTTTTTTAAGCTTTCTAAGGTCGTCTGCTTGGAAGCTGGCAGCGCACAGTTGGGACTTCCCCCTTCTCCGTGAAATCGCTCCAGAGCACTAAGTGGAGTGGGCAGCAGAGAAACCGCACCTCCCTTGGGGTTAGCCAGCCGCAGTGGAACCACAGAGAGTTGGAAGGGGACCAAAAGCAGGGGCTTTGGAGCTGGACTGTGCGGGGGGGAGAAGGGAGAACAAGCGAGGCCACAAACCTGCTCCAGGCTGAGGGCTCCCCTTGAGATGCAAAATCAACTCCCCCTGGTGGCTCCCCTTGAGATGCAAAATCAACTCCCCCTGGTGGTACCGGGCTTCCAAGTGCGCAGGCCGGAGGTGGGGCTGGAGGAGGAACCCCACAGAGAAGCCTCCTGTGCAGGCAGCACTCCAGTTGTTGGCCGGAGAAGAGAGGCTTTGCTTTGTGGCCTTCCTGCAGCCGCCTGGCAGCTGTGTTGAGGGGAATGCTACACACAGAAACATCACCAAGTATTGGTGGCGGCCTGGCCTGGCAGGAGCTCTTGCACCTGCTGGTGGGGCTGATTTGGACAATTACACTGCATAGTGTCAGTTTCAGCTGGCTGTATATTAGAATCACCTGGGTGGCTTCCCAAAACACAAACACTTAGCCTGGGACCCCTCCTTTCCAAAGACCGATTAAGTCAGAATCTTTTGGAGTAGGGTTCGGGGTGTCAGCATTTCTGCAAAGCTCTCCCGGGTAATTCTCAAGTGCATCCAGGGTTGAGAACCATGGCCCTAAAGGAATTGTCTTATACACGCATCACAAGACAAGCTAAAAACTGTTCAAAGCAGCGCCATTTGCAATAGCAAGAACCTGGAAATAATCCACATGGCCGTTAACAAGAGGATGGATGGATGAGTTGTGTTGTCACGTGGTGAAAATCGGTGAGCTGTAGCTGTGCCCTCAGTGTGGAAGTGTCACGAAACACGGAGCCACGAAAGCAAGTCACAGAAGAGTGTGTGTGTGAAATGGCATTACCTTTTGTATAAAGTTCAAAAGTTTAAAAACATGCAAGATGCATCAATATATTGTTAGGGCTATACACGTACTTAGTACATAATTGTGTATTAGGTATATGCACACATGTGTGACAAACTAAAGAAAATTAAGGAGAACGATAAACACAAAATTCAGGATCATAGTTGTCTCTGGAGGGAGGTGGGAGGATGGCGGTAGGAGGGGAAATGGGTCTCAGAGCAGCAGGAAGGTTCTATTTCTTTGGCTGGGTATACAGGTGTTATTTTATTATTGGTTTGTATACTCTATATATACATTAAGTATTTTGTATTAATAAGAAATTTCATTTAAAAAACTAGAAGAACCCCACACATAAAACCCCAGGTCTTAAGGAAAATGCCCGCTGGCCCGAAACAAGTTCCCGTTCCTCCCTGACCTGAGCTTCCCGGAGATATCTGACCCCATCAAAATCCCATTCAGAAATTTACAAGAGGAACCAGCACAGATAACGGCAGAGGAGAATGTTGCCACAGAGCAGATGAATTTCCTCTGTGACCAAATTTTCACTACAAATTACACAAATGTATAAAATAAATGAGGAGACACAAGAGCTCAAGGAAGTGATGAGTGAGACATGGACAGAGATCTGTGATGGAAACACGGCGTGGCAGAGCTGAGGCAGGAAGTGACGACAGAGTCCCGGATACGAAGTCCGTGTTGGAAAGAACAGCAGGAAGAACGGATGGGGCTGAAAACGGGCACAGGACGAGAGAAAGAACACTGACCAAGTGAGATGGACATGAAGGGGGAAAAATGATTAGGCACAGAAGACAGAAGAAATGACAATAATGTATCACAAGAGTTACTTACAGAAACAATTAGAGAAGTTTTCCAGAAATAAAGCAAGAGTTGATCTCTGGATTGAAGGAAAAAGTGATGCGGAATGTTTAATACTCAAAGTAATAGTTTTATTAGGTAGCATTTCTAGTCCCAGAGCCCTGAGCACGTGGCAGGCGGTGCATTATCAGGGAGGCCTGGTTAAGTCTTATTTCCCATACCGCTGAAACAGTGTGAGACTATCTGTCAATGAGTGGAATAGACATTTTTGTGAGTCTAGGAACGCTTCTGGTTTGTACTTGTGTTATCCTATCCGTCCCCTCAGTCTTTCTTTGCTTCCACTGCTGTCGTGTCACAGTGACAGACTTGACGGGGAGTGGGGGGGTCGGGGAGGAACAGTGCAGTTCTCCGCTCCTCTCTCTGGACCGCGGGGTGAGGGACTGAAGCCTCCGCTCAACCTCAGTGGCTTCAGATCTCACCTTCTGTTGTCACCTCCTGGTGGTCAGCTTGTGGTCTGACCACTGATCACCATCGCCCACCATCCCACAGGATGCCTTTACCTCTCTAAGCCCTGGGACCATCTGGAAACTGCGTCTAGACTCAGCTGGCCTCGGAAGCGCTCAGAGGTCCCTCTCTCCCTCCATCCCTCCCTCCCTCCCTCCCTTCCTTCTTTTTCCTTTTTTTACAATTACTTATACATTTTTTTCTTCTATATTATGACATCTCAAATACAGAGAATTACAGATGTAATATAACAGACAAGTGGATTTTTGGGGGAGGGATTCAGATCACTCTATTTTTTTAGTTGAGGTATAATTGACATGCACATTATATTAGTTTCAGGTGTATAACATGATGCTTTGATATTTGTATATATTGTGAAATGATCATCACAGTAAGTCTGGTAAACGTCCGTCACCATACATAGAGAATTTTTTTTTCTCGTGATGAGAACTTTTAGCATTTACTCTCTTAGCAGTTTTCAAATATGCCATACAGTATTATTAACTATAGCCACCATGCTGTACATTACAGCCCCAGGACTTATTTATTTTATAACTGGAAGTTTGTGCCTTTTGACCCCCTTCACCCATTTCGCCCCCTCCATCCCTCTATTTTTCAACACGTGGTGTTAGACCTGTGAATCCTTTCCCTTCCCTTCTCTGCCCTCCCCAAAGGTATTCTCCATCCTGAAGTTGATGGACCTCACACCCATGCCTGCTTTTATACTGTTACTCTGCAGAAAAGAGGTTATACAAAATGTGTCCTTTTTTAAGTGAAATTTGCATAACATAAAACTAACCATTTAAAGCGAACAATTCATTGGCATTTAGCACATTCACAGTGTTGTGCAACCGGCACCTCTGTCTAGTTCCAAGCATTTTCATCACCGCGAAAGGAGCCCTGTACCTGTACCTGTTAAGCAGCTTCGCTCCGTTCGCATATCCCCCTGCCTCTGGTAACCATCAGTCTGCATTCTGTGTCTATGGATTTGCCTAGTCTGGACATTTCATACAAATGGAATCATACGATACGTGACCTTTTGTGTGTGGTTTCTCTCAGCAGGTTTTCAAGTCCATCTACATTGCAGTGTGTATCAGTACTTCACTCCTTTCTATGGCTGGATAATATTCCATCGTAGGCATAGACCACAATTTATTTATCCCTTCGTCCACTGATGGACATTCGGGCTGTTTCCACCTTCTGGCTGTTATGAACAGTGTGCTATGAACATGTGTGTACGTGCACTAAGCATGTCCTTTTAAGGCTCACTTCTCAACAAGGCCCTGGACCCTCTGCTTGTCTGTCTCATCCCTGTCGTGTGCACGGTGGCTTTGGAGACGGGCACGGGGAAGACCTGGGGCATGGCAGTTCAACTAGGAGGAAAGTGAAGATGTTCTAAGACTCTGATCCCCTCAGGGCAACGTGAGAGGCAGAAGCCTCCGTTCTCTTGATGGGGTGCGTCCTAAAACAGGTTAGAGAAGGTCCAATTTCATCCTTTTTTGGACAAATGGGCCCAGGAAAGTGAGGTGATTGTGCCAGGCCCCACTGTCAGTCAGCGGCAAAGCAGGAGCCAGAACAGGTCCCTGCCTCCTTGTGTTAAAAGTACCCACGGGATTTAAATTAATGTAGGTGACTGAGTGATGACAGGGAGAAATCAATGCCATCAAAGAAGAATTGATTGCTTACACTTCCCGAGAGAAGGGGGCCACGCCAGCGACGCACGGCAGAAGAAGTGAGGGAGAAGCCGAGGCCACAGCCTTCATGGGGTCTCCGTGGGAAATGCGAGGCAGGGCAGGGGAGAGACCTGATGACCGGCCAGTGAGATGAACGCCAGCGGGCTTGGGGCATAGGGGCGTCCCTAGTCGTCTGGGGCCTGGCTCTGGTGACTTTCGGTGGGGGAAATACTGGTGCGGGGTGTGAGTATGTAAAGGAGGTGGTTGGGGGTGTGCACTTGGGATTGGTTGGAGAGTTTGCAATTCGATATTTGCGCACCTGTGACAGCTGCATCGCAGGGAAGACGTAAACAACTTTGGCCATTAGTGTGGCCCTGTGATTAATGGATGCCAAACAGACAAATGCAGAGCCTAAGAAAACAGAACACCCCCGTCCAGCGCTCCTGGCACCGCCCGCCTGACTCTGCTATTATTACCCCGGCAAGTCCAGCAGCGTTCTTCCCTCTTCCTCTCCGTCCCCCGACCCCCAGGGAGTGTCGGAGGTTTCCCCGCCTCTGCTCCCCTGGGAGAGGGGCTGGCCAGCAGACACCCTGACCCGAGGCCCTGAGCAGCTACAATCGCAGGGTGACCCCAGCCCGTGGCCTTGGTGGTCTGGCACCTGTCTCCGTGTTATTCGGGGGCCGGAGCGCCCTCTGGTGGGCAATTGGAGAGCAGCCTAATTCTAAATTCCACTTAACGATGTGCAAGTCCAGCTGTGTTATCGGGGCGCCGCGCCTCCGGGAGGTTCTCCTTCCCTACACCGGCCCCTCGCGGACCTCACCCGGGGCTTGTTGATGAAAATGTATAAATCCGATGTCCACTATGCACAAAGTACTTTTTCCCTCTTATAAGTGAGTCAGGTACTGAATTGCCCGACCCGGATACCTGCCCCAACACGCAAGCAGCTATAATTTCAGGGGGCAGAGTGTGGTCAAGATTTGGCTGAGATGAGAGCAGGGGGCGGGCCGAGGACACAGAGCGGGGATCAAATACAACCAAGGAGACCAGGGAGGGCTTCCTGCGGGAGGTGTGGCCTGTGAGCTGAGCTCCGAAGGCGGACGGATTTCAGAAGCGGAGGAGGGGGAAGCGCCGCTGTTCACTCTTCTGCGGTCGCTGCCTCGTCCTTTTTATTCCTGCCTCCCCGTCACCAGTCATGGGGAGTCTCCAAGTCACGGTTCCTTAAAATGGCCCCTTCCCAGGGGAACATGGTGGCTGGTCCCCCTCCTGCATCTCTCGCCACCCACCTTGCACCCTGATCCTGCTTTTAAACACTCGGATTCCAAATCCTGCGTTTTGTTGCCGGTCCTGGATCCACCTCTTCCCCCTGAAGGACATTTAAGTCACTCCGCTGCTCACTCACTCTCGGGGGGGCCCCCTGGCAACCCCCCACCTCCTCACCGTCCTCGACAGCAGCTCTACTTATCTGAGTTTACAGTGTGGGCCTCTGAGGAAGACGTCACTAGAAAAGGTTTTGCTTCTAAGACACCTTTGCAATGCACTGGGTTGAATGCATGTGTGTGTCTTTCCTGCTCTGGCCTGCACCGTGGGCCCCAGCCCTTGCTCTCCTGTGCTGACACAGGGGGCTCCTTCTTCCCTGACCCCCTCCCCCCATTTTTGAGATCATCATTCCTCCACTCCCGACCCACGAATCCAGACGTTTTCGAACAAAGAACTCGGAAGGGGCCTCCCCCAGGACTCTGGGTCTGACGCAGTTGTTCGAGGGATACCCCTCGGGATCAAGGCAGAGGAAGAGCCCTCCTGTGACCGGAGAGACCCTGCGGTCACAGAGAAGACAGTTGACCCCCATCGTCAGCCTCATTACTATTATTGTTGTTGTTGTTGTTTTATTCCTGCCCCTCCTGGAAACGGGGCTTGGGTCTGTCATCTGGCCTGCAATGAGACAAATGGCCACAGGAGGGCAGCAGAAGGCAAAAGCTTTGCCTGAAAATAACCGCTAATCGCAGCCCCCTCGAACAGGGCAGGTCCAGAGAATCGGAGGGAGAGAAGGAGGCAGTGCGTCTGCCCCCGACAGCATCCCAGAGAGAGAAGCCGCGAGTCCACGGCTGCTCAGGAGAGTGAGGCGGAACTAGAATCTGAAGACTCTCTCCCCCTCTGCGCACGATGGCTCCAGCCCTGAGCTGGGCCTGGACAGAGGGGTCTGGGGGTGAGGGGTCCATAACCTCCCCGTTCCCGTCCTTCTGAGCACGTGGGCTGTGGGGTCCCCAGGGCGGCTCAGGGAGCTCCCAACCTAATGGAGGAGCCAGGACTGACAGACCCACACAGGAGTTGGTGGGAGAACAGCCCCCTGGGGTTGTTGTAGGGTGGGCTGCCTCACAGTCCCTGAGAGCTGGAGGGAAGGAGCAGGAGAGAGAATCACGGGGACAGCTGTTCTCGGGGAAGGCTTCCTGGAGGCCAGTGTGGGCTGTGGCTGGGTGGGACATCCATGCTCGAGGGGGGGGGCTCACACTTCAGGTCAGGAGGGACCGGGGGGCAGCCTGACTGGAGCGGGGTGTGAGGGCTGGGAGCAGTGGGAGATGAAGCTGGTGCGGCCCGGGCTCAGACTGCAGAAGGCCGGAAGGCAGGCAGAGGACTCGGGGTGGCCTGGAGACTGAGCCGGGAGCCGGCCCGGCGCGGGTGGAGCTGGGCCTCGCAAAGACTCTCCGAGCGGCTGGACTGCAGTGTGTGCGGGGGGACTGAGAGGTGGGGAGACAGGGGAAGGGGCTGCAGGAACCCCGGGCCAGGGAGCTCCCCAGCCCTTGGCGGAACCCCTGCCAAGGACGGGTCCTGGAAACTTGTGTGGAATTGGATCGAATGCTTAAGGAGAAGTGTGTCCTCAGCTCTGCACTGGGCAGAGAAGAAGGGCTGGTCTGGGAGGAGACTGGGGGACCTCAGGGGCGCATGAGATGGGAGAGAATCCAGATGGCCCTTTCCGGAACCCTCCCTGCCAGCGCACCACACAGAGGAGGGTCTGAGGAGCCTCTTGTCCACCCCTCCTGCTCACCCCACGGACCCCCTCAGCCCCACCCCTGTGTGGGCCTCACTCATCAGGGCCCCTCACTCGAGTGTGGGCTACAGCAGCCATGTCGCCCTCCAAGCCTCACTTTCCCTTCCCAACCTGGACATGGCAGGACCAGATGTTCTCTGAGGACCCCAGAGTGACAGGCCGGGGTGGACAGAACACGCTGACCCAGGCTGAGGGAGAGAGACTTTAATCTGGGCTCTTTCATGCCACGATTCCAGTTCAGAAAAGGGGACAGGGGTCCTCTTTGTCCTCGTAGGGCTCCCACTGGACCCAGGCAGTTTGGGATTGGGGCGGTGAACATGGGGGCCGGAAGCTTCCAGACGGTCCAGGAAGAAATCAGGACTCCTGGGTCTCCTGAGTGCGGCCACGCAACTTCAGGATGCGCTGCAAGAGTCTCATCACCTTCTGCACCCTTGTGTCCTTGGGGTCCGAACAGATGGACCTGCCCTGGACGGTGACGAACCTACACAGAGGGAGAACACCGTCAGGGGCGTCAGGGTGGGGAGCCCTGCCGGAGCCCTGGGACCGGCCTCGCCCTGCGCTGACCAGGACTTGCCTGCAGTCCACGGCCTCAGTGGCAAATCTGGGACATCAGGCTGGTTCTTGACCCTCCAAAGGTCCCCACCTGGCCCTCCCTGGCGGACCGTCTGTCGCCCACATCAGACTGCTTGTGCCCACCTAGGGCCTGGGAACTAGGGTGTGTGGGAGGGGCCTGGCGCTCGGAGCTCTTCTCGGGCCAGCTCAGGCCCAGGCGGGGGGGAAGTGACCATATTGGCTGCTAACTACCCGTGTGACATGGGGCTGTCCCATCCCTCTCAGGCCTCCGTGTCCCCGTAAATCAATGAAGAGGCAGGCCCCCACAGCCTGGGGCCTTTGGAGTCTCGCAGTGTGGGTGCAGGAACTGCCCTGAGGAGCAGGGCCCGGGTGGTCGAGGGGACCAAGGCCCCACTCTCTCCCCTCCTCTCCTCTCCTCTCCCCGGTGGCCGTTCTGGGAGCTCCAGGGCCCTCCTTCCCCCGTGCTCAGCTCCCAGGACAGGCGTGGGGGCGGACTTACACGACGGAGTCCCTGGGACAATCCCTTGAGGTCCGGTACCAGGCCGTCAGCTTTTTCACGGGAATGGCTCCCCTGAAGTGCTCCAGGCAGCACTCCTGGCCCACGTTCGTGGCTCGCGCTGCAGAGAGAGGAAGCGGGAGCAGGTGTGACTGTAAGCGTCTGCGCGCGCGTGTGTGTGTGTTGTTGGGGGGCTCTCTTGTGTGGGGGTCTGTGAGTGTGCTTCTGTGTGGGGAATATGTGAGGGGGTTTGCACATGTGTCTGTGTGTGCACAGTTGTGTGTGTGAGGTCTCTGTGTGTGCTGTGGGGGGCCTTGTATATTTGCACGTGTGTGCCTGCAGGTATCTGTGTATGTTTGGGGGAGTCTGTACATGCTTGTGTGCATGTCTGTGTGCGTGTGTGCATCTGTGTGTGTCTGTGTGTGACACACACTCAAATACCAGCCCCGGATCACAAGCGTTTGCCCTGGGCCAGGCTCTGGGCTGAGCTATCCCCGCAGCAGCCCTTCCCTCAGTGGGTCTTCAGCATACCTGGAGACAGGTGCCAGCCCTGCCCACTCTACAGATGAGAAAGTAGGGGCCCGAGGGGTGGGGACACTTTCCCGGGGCTCAGTTTCCTCGTCCTGCCTTTTCTCTGATCCCCTTGATGTGTATAAGACCCATTAATAAAACAGATGCTAACATCTGGGGAATTGTTCATTTTCCACTCTCAAAACACAACCGCAGTCACTTCCTCATGACCACTGCAGTGCGAGGTGTGTGAGCACTTTGTTCCTCACCAGGCCAGTCCCCAAGGCTGGGGCAGCAGTATCGTCACCATCCTCATCACCACCACCATCATTATCATCCTCACCATCCTTATCATCACCATCATCTTCCTTTGACTGCCTCCCTCAAAATCCTATTGCTGCCGGCCTCTCACACCTTTGCAAGAATAAGTGGGGTGTAAATAATACAGAAATATGTGCATGTTGCTGCTGTGGTCTGGGTGCCCTACCCTCCTCTCTGTGTGCCCCTTCCTGCGGCCACTTCTCCTCTGTTCTCACCTGCATGGGTAACCTGCAGAGAAGCCCCCAGGAGCAGGGCGACCAGGAACAGCATCTTCAGTGGAGTCATGGTGCCGGAGTCCAGGAGAGGGTCTCTGCTCTGGGGAGACAGGCTGAGAGCCAAGCATGGATGTGACCTATTTAACCTCTGTCGGGTCCTGCCCCGCCTCCTGTCACCTCCCCCTCCATCCTTCCCTAGACCAGTGGAGTTCGAAGAATTTGAGATGATTCAACAGAAGTCCAGTCTTGGAATGTTTGTGGCTTTACAGAGAATGGGCACTCGACTGGGGACAGAGGTGGGGTGTGTGTCCGGGGACCATGACAATGACACACTTCTCCTTTCACAGGGGACATTTCTTGGTTCCTCTATTAGCAGAGCTGAAAAGCCTCCATCCTAACCTGGCTTTGTCCTTGCTCCGAGGTGGGTGAGTCTCCTTCATGCACGGTGCCCGGCGGGGGGACAGCCAGGCAAGGGCTGCTTAACCCGGACCTGGAGGAGCTTCAGGGTGCCGGGAAGGCCTCCCGGGGGGTTGGCAGGCTGCATGGGCGCATGGGCGTCTCTCTGCATGGAGGACCACAGCTGCATCTCTTGCTGAGAATGGCCTGAAGCCCAGACAGCTTTGGTTGTGGGTCCTTCCCCAAGCTGGGCCCTGCGCCATAGAAAGCCAGAGCCCACAGGTTTTCATCACCATTTAGTCCAAATTTGTACTTCTGTAGATTGGGAAGCCAAACTCCCCCACATGGGGCAGCCCACTCTAGGCTGCAGAACAGAATGGAAGGACGGGTGAGAGATGACGCCTCTGGCTCCTGGCAGAGCCACGTCTGCCCTGGACACGTGGTCAGGGTCCAGCCCGAGCCAGGCCCTGAGCAGACGCTCCATGAACCCACGGACCGCAGCATCGCTGCATCAGGTCAGTCCCCCAGCCACCAGAGAAAATGGCCATTCGTCTGCTTTGGGCTCCCCTGGGCCAGATCATGGGGGTCCCTGAACTAGGAGGAGAGTCCCACGCCCGCTTCCAGGGGGGCAGCATCTCAGCAGGGCAGCCCTGGACTTTGATTCTGACACATGGGATCTGGGCCTGGCTCCGCCCTGTCCCTGAGTGAACAGGGGCAGCTCAGAATGGCACCTGCCCCTGCAACATGGTGTAAGGTGCATTTGGCCCTCTCACAGGCAGCTCTGTGTCAATCATGGAGCCTTATTAAAGTTTCATCACCAGCGATGATAACAACAGCAGGTGTGTTTGCTGAAACCCGACTCCACCAGGAGCAGCGCTCAAACATGTAACCTCGCCAGTCCTCACTGTTGATCTGGGAGAGGAAACCACGACACTGGACTAGATCACACTGGGAAAGGCCAGGCCTCCTCCCCCTCCCCCAGGGCCACCTCGGGAGGCTGGGGCTGCTTCAGTTCCTGGTGGGGGTATGCCCCTGTCCATGGCAGAACCTCCCTGTGAGCAGAGTCCTTTGTCACAGCCTTGCTGTGTGAACTTGGGCAGCTCATAGACCTTCTCTGGGCCTCAGTTTCATACATCACCTGTAGAAGGATGTTTGGACTGTCTCAGGGGGAACTGCCAAGATGGTAAATCTGAAAAAGAGGGGGTCCTCCCTTAGTGGGCCTGGCACAGCATTTCTCTGCTTCTCTTAGAGCCACATCACCTGCCAGAGACCTGCTAATCCCACCCACTCCTCAAGCCACAGCCGGGCGGGTTCTTTGCCCCAAGCCTGTCCCCAGGGCAGGCTTCCATTTGCATGTGCAGTGGAAGGGAGCGGAGGGGAGTGGGGTCTTTCTGCCTGTGCTCATCTTTGGTGCCAGCTTCCTACGGAAGGGCAGCAACCTGCACCCCCAACAGAACAGCACCCAGCTCTCCCCATCCTGCTGAGTCAGACGAGGCCCGGCTGGGTTGGGGAATGGGTGCCGGTGCCCTCGGTGACCCTGGCTAGGAAGAGGGAAGCTCTGGCCTGAAGACAGAGCCTTGGACCCAGAGGAACCACGAAAGCCCGGAGGTCCTTGGGGAGGGCCTGGGTCCCAGGAGGAGGCAGAGGGAGTGAGTCTCTGCTGATGCTGCCCCTCGTGGGCATCTCCTGACCCTCTCTCTTGTCCGTGCCTTCTGCCCAGTGGCTAGTGCCCACCGTCTTGTGGCTTTTCCAGCTGCCACAGGGGCCTCCGGATGCTCTTCTGTGCTGGACAACGGGCTGTTACGATGATTGGCCGCTTATTAACGGGGAGGCCGCCCCAGCCCCCACTGCTGGGGAAACTCCCTGAGAAGGTTTCGAGTCCTGCCTTGTTCTGCCACAGACTCAGAAATTTTCTCTGGAAGAACCCAAATTCCCCTGTCCCTTCTAGGGAAGGGGTTACAGCAGCAGGAGCAGAAGGTTCTGGACTAGCTGTGGGCTGGTGCAGGCTGCTGGCAGGGGAGGGGGAACAAAGCAGCAAACACGCCATTGAGCACCTGCTGGGTGCCCGGGGCTGTGCCAGGAGCTGTGGGACGGGCAGGAGCCAGAGGCAGCCCCTGCCCTTGGGGGGCATTCTTCCCAGCGGGGTCGGGGAGGGGGGCAAGGCCTGGCCCCACATAGGAATGTGCAGAGGAGATAACAGGCCACGGGGTCCAGAGCAGGGAGAGGTTGCTTCTGGCCAAGAGAACTTGGAAGGCTGCCTGGAGGTGGTGGCCGGTGAGCTGGACCTTGTGGGTAGGAAGATTCATAACAAGACAAGGGGGCAGGTATTTCACTTGAGAGAAGTGCTTAGCAGAGGTTCAGAGGAAGGAATGTGCAGAGATAAGTGAGGAAAATAGCATGGAACTCCGGTGGGCCTGGATGTGACACAGAAACAGTAAACTCGGCGAGTACAAGTGCATGTCCCCCACCGTGTGTATCCCCAGTGCCAGCGCACAGTGGGCTTCCGATGAGGCTGAACTGAGGAGGAGGGGACTGCAAAGGACCGAGGAAGAGGAGGTGAGACTGAGCAGGAACCTGGGGAGAAGCCATGGAGGGCCGAGCACACCTCCCAGCCTCGCTTGGGAGGCAGCGAGACCAGGGACATTTTCGAGGTGGTTTCCTCGCCAGGGATTAACTGACTTATTCCTCCTCAGTTCTCCCAGCCATGAAATGGATTCCAAGGGACCTTCCAAGTGGAATGTCCTGGTGTCTGGGCCTGTGATAAGGGCCTTGAGAGACCTCTGCGGTGCTGTGCAGACTCTAGGACTCAGAGGTCCATCAGGGGAATCAGGAAGACTCCCTGGAGGAGGCGGCAGTGAGGCAGAGCTCTGTGGAGGGGCAGCACGGGAGAGGTGCTCCGGCTGGAGGAAAGGCACAGACACAGGCAGGGAAGAAGTCCAGGCAAGTGGGCCTGTTAGGAGAAGAGAGTGGAAGGGGAATTGGATCTGAGTGGAAGGAAGCGGCGATTGTAACTCCCTGTCTCAGCACCTCTGACTCAAACCGGCCAGACACACAGCCTGTGCACCTACCACCTCCCCGTCCCAGCCCTGAGCCTGCTGCCCTAGGGAGTCCCTTGGAGAAAAACCAGCTGGAAGGGATCAACACGCCCCCTGCCACGCTTTAGCCTGAAGGGGCTGGACCAGCCAGATTCTAGGTCCTTCACCCTGAATGGGAGGTGGGGAGGGTTACTGCCCCACCTCTGGCTCTACAGGGGGCTGGGGTGGAACCAGGGATGCTGCTGTCAAAACCCCAAGAGCTTAGCCCCAAGCCACAGAGCAGGAGCCGGAGGGCTGGGGTAGAAGCTCTTTATCATCTTCAAATTGCACATGACGGTTGTTGCTGGGGTGGCAGTGGTTGTCACCCCAGGTCACACCTGTGTCAGCTGAGGCTCCAGGAGGTGCAATGACTTGCCTGGGTCTCCGGGAGCATCTCGGTAAGGATCTAGCCTTTTATCCACTCTGCTCCATCCTCTGACAGCTGAAGCTGGATTCGTCCTGCCCTGCCCCTAGAGACTGAGATGTGAAGGTCCTAAATGTTCTCTCCATCCCCTGGTCTCAAAATATGTCCCACCACCCTGTCCCAAGGGCCTGACGTGCTCACTGATGAGTCAGTCGTAGGTCTGCTTGATTCCTCAGGTCAGAAACACAAGGGTCACCCCTGCGCCGGGCTCTCTGTCACTTCCCACGTTCAGTCAATCAGCACGAGCTGTTGAGCCGGCCGCCTAGGGGCCTTGAATCCGTCTCCCTCTCGCCCTCCACATGGCCACCCCCTCCATCTCTCTGCTGGACCACCGCCCACACTCCTCTCCCAGTTCCTGGCCCCTCAGTCTGTCCTCCTCCCTAAAGCCTAGAGATTTTTCCAAAACACAAATCTGAGCAAGGCTCTCCTTTCCCAAGAATCCTTCAATACCTCCCCATTGCCCTCAGGATGAAGTCCAGATTCCTACCGACTTCTCCAGCCTCAACTTTTGCCCCCAGCCCGCCGCCCGCTCCACCACACCACTTTGTTCTAGCCACAGGGACCTTCTCTCAGTTCCTTGAAGATCCCAGGCTCTCACTGACACCCAAGGCTTTGCACAGGCTCTTCCCACTTCTAGAACACTCTCTCCTGCTCCCCCACACCCACTTCCTTTCACTTCTTCCCTCCTTCGGGTTACAGCTTGAATCCTCACTTCCTTCCTTCGGCCCCCGCCTTCCTCCGTGTTCTCACAGGTCTCTTACGTCTCTCTCTCTGTGAGGCTCTCTTCACCTCGCACACCGATTGCTCGTTTGATTGCTGAGTCTTACACAGTTGTCCCCTCTTACCCACGGGGAATATGTTCCAAGACCCCTGTGGATGCCTGAAACCATGGATAGTACCCAACCCTGTATACTATGTTTTCTCCTACGCATACACACCTATGATAAAGGTTAATTTATAAATTAGACACAGTAAGAGATTAACAACAATAACTAATAATGAAATAGGACAGTTATAACAATATATTGTAATACAAGTTACTGTAGATCTTAGCAACCTCAATATACAATTTTTTTTTCTTTCCTTATTAAGTAGAGAACTTTCATCCTTTCACTTAAAGGAAGCACTTTACAGCTTCTCTTTGGCATATCTGAACTGCCAGCATAACTACTCTTGCATTTGGGGGCTATTATTAGGTAAAGTAAGGGTTACTTGAATGCAAGCACTGCGATACCACGACAGTTGATCTGGTAACGAAGATGGCTACTAAGTGACTAATGGG